TTTAGAATTTTTCTCTTATATCCACTATGTATATCGTTTACATTTATTTATTTATTTTTGAGTTATTTATCAGGACAGAGATTCACAACCAGCAACATCAAGATACTTTATTCTATCCTTACAAATGCATGAGTAGTTAATATCTCTCGTTTTAATCGTCTGTTGCACGGTTACATCTCTCGCTTTTATTATTACAAATGCTTTGAATGGTCATGACGCCATCTGGCGGTAAACTTTGGAAATTGCTAATAGGTATAATTTATCATTTATTTCATAGAACTTAACGTTTTTAGCCCAATGGGAGTTAGCCCAGAAGGGCTATTAATTTCGTTTTGGCATTTTGCGTTGAAAACTTTAAATGCCCGTTTCACTTTTCAAATTGTTGCCACCAAATATTATTGTCCTGTGTAATATTAAAAAAATTAAATAATGAAGAATTTGCATAAATATAAGTATGTTTCTCGCATTGTGCTAAAACAACGGTACCTAGAGCCATCCAATTTTGAATAACGTAATCCTCCACCGAATATGGGCATCTGGAAGCCCTAATTTGGAATTTGTTTATTATCGATTTCGTATTTTGTAACCCTTTAACGAATTTTTGATTAACAAAATTCAGCGATTTAAAAGCGAGCAATGGCAACAGTGTACGAAGAGGAAAAAAAAAAACATTTTTTATCTGCAGCATCCAGGGCCCGAGAATGTGTATCGAAAATTGTAAAGATATGCTCATTTTAAAATTATTTTGCGATATTGCTGTTGAACTGAATTTTATGATTTAAGTGCGAAGAACATGTTATTTAATAATTAAAGGTAACATACAAAACGATAATAAAACACCCCTTTGGGCGTAATGTAAAATCCGAAAGCTTTTAGTTTTTTTTTCTTTTTGTTTATTCATTTATTTTATCATCTTCCATATACACCTATAGTGCCTAAAAAAGGATAATATATTATTGATACGAGTTACCACTACAGATGCGTAAAATTTAAAATACTAAAGCAAAGAATGCTATTTATATAGTCTTTGTAATCAGGTGATCCGTTATGCTATCCAACTAATAACAGATCTAAACTTTTCTTCGTATGGAAGCTAGCAGATCTTTGTAAAGTCTTCATAATTCATCTTGAGATGCTTGATTGTGTTATTCTAATTTCTTTTATTAATATTGAGCAAAAAGATAAAGATTTGCATATGTCTTATGAATGTATAAATATTTATACATAAAAATAATAATTACTCCTGTTAACTCAAAGATTAAGAAAGAATTCGCTTTCGTGAAAACTGAAATGTTTATCATTTATTGTGATCTCAAAGATTTAATGAATAAAGGTTCTTATCAGAACTATCTTAAAGAAATTCTACTTTAAAAATGGTCATGGGATTGAATTATATTAAGTCACTCGTATTAAATTGCACATAAAAATATTGCGTTTTAATATTCTATTATTCCTATATTTAGCTAGGGTAAGACGTATTTTTATTTTAAGAGACCGTATTTTGATTCAACATGGTTCTATATTATACGTAGTACATGAACAGCAAATGGAAATTTAAAACATGCTAACTGCGTATGTATAACCATTATATATTTTTGAGTATGTTATCTAAACTATTTAGAATGTTTTAATAATCAAATTTTTAACTTCACTCATTTACTTTAAGTAGTGATATATTGCAAAATATGTAAATTGTCACAATGAACAGTTCTTGTTTCTGACTTTCCACCAGCTAGAATGTGCTCTGGCCGTAGGAAAGATGGCTGCTGGCCAGTCTAAACCTCAAGCAACAAAGACCTCGAATATTTCAAATGAAATGACCTTTGAATAACGTCAAATTACGCTTGCAGAAGAAAGTAAGAACTATACAAGTAACAACGTCGCATGTGGTTGATGCAACTATAAATGTTTGGTTCAGCGAGCATTAAATATTGACTGTCATCGACATCAAATTAATGACCAGTCAGTTAAGGTGGTTTTTCTTTTACGAGTTCAAACTGGAAAATTCTGCTGTTTGTACAATGAAAACATCAATAAAGCATTCGGTGAAATAACAATTAATAAGAGATCCACTAGCCGTTGCCATTTTGCAAAATTACTTTCAGAAGATTTGTGGCTACAAAATGAGCTCCTTGGTCATCGTCTTTCTTCCATTGCTTCGAATGAATGAAATCTTTTCTTCCATTGCTTCATTAATCGAATCAGATTCACAACAAACAGAACAAAAGCTCAACCCATACACTTAAATTTGCATGTTTCAACTGTTCGCAGCACTCAGTAGTAACAGAGTAAATAAGGAGTCTCAACAAATATGTTCACTTGCTGATGAAAAAACGTTCCTGCCAAAAACCGAATTTTCTCTCTTCAGAAGAAGAAAAAAAGAAAGGTTCCTCTTACCAGTTGTGACTTTGGATGAGAAATAGACATTCTGCTGCAATCATACACATTCACTGTAGTAGATGGGAGTGAAAGATGCTCCGGGAAGAATTTCAAAGACATCTTTGTATACAACTAAGATGTTTCCTATATGGCGATCTTCTGCTGGTGTTATTCATTGTTCTTTCTTTCCACGAAGTCAAACAGTACGTGCATCTAGATATTGTACAACATTAAACATTGCTGTACAATATCTAGATGTTGTGTAGCAGATGTTGTGTAGCTGTACAATATCTAGATGTTGTGTAGTTGTACAATATCTAGATGTTGTGTATCTAGATATTGTGTAGCAGATGTATAAAAAAATATGCTATAAATTGTCGGCACTTGTGAATATACATGGAGTCTAGTGTTTTATAATAACTCCCAACCGCATTCGGCCATCTCAACTGCGCAGGTACAAGTACACGGAAAAGTATGGGGGACACCAGCGATGTACCATAGGTCAACTGGTAATGCCTTCCCATACTATTAAAAAAAGGGGGAATTGCAAGTTTTATAAGAATTTAAATAGATTGGAGCTTTCCAAATGGTCTAAATTTTGCGTTATTATGGTACATCGTGCAATCCCATAGTACACCCCGCATCCAGTATTTATTAAAAATAATGATGTAGAACATAAATAGATTACAAAATAGTCTGAATACAATTTGTAATTCACAAATTGAATTGAACATCTGTTTTGGTGCAATAAAAATAGGAGATAAACATAATTAGTAAACAGAAAACATCATGACATAATTAGTAATGGCAACACAATGTTATAATGAATTGTAAAATAATGCTAAACGTGTCCATGGGTTATTTCAGATATAAAGGTTTATTGGAGTTTATAAGGTTCACAAGTGGAGTCATTTTGTTCATAATCACAGTATTTTAAAGTTCACTAAGTTTATGAAGCATGTGGGCTGCGCAGCAAATCAACAATTTGGGCTACGAGATTGTGCTTCATTCTCCATGCTTAGCTTACGTATTCCCAATAGATTACCTTTTCTTCCGGTATTTGAGATATGTTTTACCAAGAAATATACTGCCAACACTACATCAGTTTATCTGTAAATTTAAGCCATCATCACTTTTAGATACGATAGTAGTAAAACGGCTGTAGCAGGATGTCACTAAAGCCTAGTTCAGAGTTTTTGTAAGATAAAATATACTAAGGTCAATTTTTAAAAAGCAAACATTGCTGGATCAAAGCAAGAAAATCTTTTCTCTATTATTATTAATGACTATTATCTTTACAAGCAGGTTCTGGTATGTAATCATCCTTTAACTTAGGCGTGTGTTTACTACTTTTTTAAAAATCTACGCTAAAAGTAAGGTTTCTGTTTTGACTAATTTTAAGTACCTCTAATTACTTTATTCATCGTTAGCCCGAAGATAAAATATCTAAGTATTTTAAAAATATGTAATTCTTACTCTGAAATATGATATACTGTCTTGACTGCAGAATAAAAAGTATCTATTCTCCACTATTGATACTCATCTTTTTGTTTTTGAAATGTTATATATTCGAACCAGCTAAGTAATTACAGTAAAATATTTTTTCTCAAATATAAGTGTCCTAAAATGATTTTGTTTTCTCTAAAATAATTTTTATAGATTAATTATAAAATTTGATGACCTGAATCAGAATTCTTGAGACTTTGCCTTAGCTGTTGTTTTTACATTATAGTATTTAATAGTAGATACTATTTAAAACAGGCAGCAATTAAAGAAATCCGAAAGCTTTATTTATTTAACATTTCCAATATCGACACACATATGTTCATAGAATTAATATTTTGGTAAATTAAATTTTACGAATTGTTGTTCGTTCATCGTCGTTGTAACTTAAATGGTTTTGCAGGCACTTTATTTAAAATTTTTATAAATTACTGCCTTCATGTAATAAAAATAAAACATACAGTTTATATGAATTTTATATGAAATTTTATGTCAATTTCAAATTAATTTAGAGAGGAATTTCTAAAGGTACCTTTTCTTAAAAGACTAGAAATATTAAGCTCAGAATCGAGGAGATTTTTTTCCTCCTTGAGGAAGAGCTCTTATCTCAGTGACCATCGAAAACAATACTGTTTTATGTGTAATCTAAGATTTTTTGTGCAGTATTTCACGAATTAGAAATCAACTGATTTTTAAATCGCGTCGTATTTATCAGGGTCTGTAAAATAAATAATCGTCTATCTGAAAACAAAGTTGAAAATATAGAGCAAGTTCAATATTAATACCTTGATATGCCGAATATTGTGACATTCCTTTTTTTTAAGTTGCCCTATCATGAAGAAGAAAATGAGATAGGAAACTTTAAGACTGTAATGAAAAGGCACACACCAATTATTTGATACAATTAATTAGATACAGAACTATACTGATAAGGTGACTTACAGTACAGTACACGGCATATTACAAATAGGATTAAATTTCATAATTAGGAAACAGCTGCATAAAACCGCTGTTAAGATTTTATGCTTTCCGTTATATTATGAAATAATCATTTAGACAGAAGAAATGTTATATTTTTGCAATATTTATTTTTTACTTAATTTTCATATTAATTTTAGGTGATGCAGAGAAGGGCCAAAGCAGGGAACCCAAACTAGTCTGTTATTACTCTAACTGGGCTGTATACCGACCTGGGTTAGCGAAATTCACTCCAGAGAATATCAACCCATATCTGTGTACTCACATCATCTATGCATTCGCATCCTTATCCGAGGAATTCCAGATCCAGCCTTTTGATCCTTACAATGACATGGAACAAGGTAAGTCATTCAAAGACTACAGTTTTTTTTTTTTTTTTTCAGAATTACAAAGGATTTTTGAAACTTAAAGTGTAACAGTAGTTTGCTGAAATACTATAAAAAGTGATAATCAAATTATTTTAATTATCACTTTTTATAATATTTCATAAGCCGGCAACATATGTCTACGTACGCTTAATCGTAGAAATTTTTTATGATAATTTTACTTATCCAAGCACTAATAGCTTGAATTACTAAAACCGAATATACATTTCCGCCCATAAACTTTAAGAAATATAAAATTAAATGAGTTTTAAAAACTTCATTTTAAAAATATATGTATATTGATAAAAACACATGTTAAAATTATTTGTTCTGAAGAAAACAAGAGTAAGGTAGTCCTCAGAACATTCTAATTTATAAAAATGGTTCTCATCTGAAAAACGTTTGAGAAACATTGATTCAAAGCATATGTTCTTAAAGTGGACACTACCACCCAGTAGTAGTACTAAGGCAATCGTGTTTCCAGTCTTCCTTTAGCCGTTGGTTTACGTATCCAACGGCTAAAGGAACACAGGAAACCAAGCAGGCAACAAGAACACGCGTTAAACATCTCAGTGCTTCTCAACCTTTTTTTTTTTTTTTTTTTGCCCATGCATCTCTTTCACCATTGCTAGACGATCTTTACTCAGTATCCCTTTAAAAGTAGAAGTATATAAGGTATTTTCTCCCTCCTTTTTCCGCATGCCTTCGTGGTGTAACGGTACACTCGACGCGCATTCTACAGGTCCAGGTTCGAGTCTCGACGAGAGCATTGCTCATTTTTAATGTCTTGTGCTTCAAAATAACCTAATGTTTCAACAAGGTTTTAATGTGCTACGAAAATACATTTACCTGCTGTTGGCTTATTAATTACTACTTCTCATGAAGCTGTTTTAGCTGTATCTTCGTGAATACTTGGAGAGCAGACTTTTGAAAAACCGATGTTAGAAAACATTGTTATAGACAGCGGATAGTATAACTATGTGAACATTGCAAAATATGAAAAGGTTGAAAACATAATTGCTAGGCTCTTAAATAATGAATCCTGGAGGATAACAAAAAAGATTTATAAAATGGCCATTGCGACGCAGATCGTATATCTTATGATTCGAAGGAGGAAACCTTACAGGCATGTATCAAGCACTCTAAGTAATGTAGGATAAAAGCGCAAATTTAAACTTTAGCGGAGATGTTTAACTCTTCGCAGATGCTAAAAATTCTTTTAGACAGTTTCGCAAGCTGTATTCAAAATTTAAAAAAAAAAAAAAAAATTTTTTTTACTTTAAAGTGAAATTCCATTTTTGCTGTTATTTTTATTTGCTTGTTCTAAATTATCTCTATGCCTGGGAGAATTTTCCTCGCGATTTACAGAATAAATGCTAATCTTTCTTTGACGTTATACTAAATTGAAAGCAAATAGTTAAATTTAGTAAAATTAATTGAATAAAATTAAATTATATTCTTGGCTTTTTGCATTGCAACTCCCCTTCAAGTCCAAATATGATGATTTTAGCAGCTAGAAAATGTGATTAATGTTAATAAACATATATATGTAAACAAACTGCTCTCAATATTTTCAGGTAATTACAAGAGTTTCGTGGGCCTCAAGGCATACAATCCCAACCTGAAGACAATGATTGCAGTGGGCGGATGGAACGAAGGTTCGAAGCGTTTTTCGAAGTTAGTTGAATTCGAAAACAACAGGCGCACGTTCGTCTCTAGCGTCATAGAATTCCTCAGAGAGTACGGATTTGATGGGGTTGACCTCGACTGGGAGTACCCTGCCTTCAGGGAGGGTGGAAATAATACTACTGACAAAAGAGGATACGCCCTGCTAATTAAGGTAGGTAGTGTCTGTTTTGGGATAGCCCTATTTTTTCAATACATGAATCCCCAGAAATCATTAGAAGTATTCCTTTCCGAATGTTAAAATGTAATTGTTTAACCCGTGTAGATGACCTTAGTAAGTAATACATTCCTTAACAAGCGCAACGATAGGAATTTCAAGGATAAACGAATTATATGCCCATGTATGTATGTATATATATGAAATATTTATTTTAAGGTAACAATATATTCGGACGTTTCAATAAAACGCTCATATTACTATGTTAAAGTGATTAATGGCTTATTTTATACAGGGTGTTTGTTCTAAAAAGGTGCTGCGAGTTTAATTCCTTAAATATTTATCTTGGAAGCTACATTCTCAAGCTAAAACAGATAATTTTATAAAACTTCCTAAACGATATGGATTGGAGAGTTTTGCAATATAAAATTTAACTTTTTATATTCCTCTATAGAAGAAGAACTACAGTTTATGAATCACTGAATGTATTTCAATGAATACAAGATGTTCCATAACATTATATACGAAATTCGCAGTGATATTTTTAATTAATACTTTCACTGGGCCAGCCACGAATTCATGTCTTTATGCTATTTTACCAGACACGAAAACATTAATCATTAAAAAGCATCTTTATCTTTTCATCTTTTTTGTTTTAGCAATAAACGTTTTAGATTTCCTGTAGATCTGTATGATTAGTTCTCACATTTATTCAGACACCAAAAAAGGATATGAATCAATTAATTCGTAAATATTTTATTTTATTAAATAATTATTTTTTATCACGAATTTTATATGTTAAAATGAGAAATTTTATACGTTCAGTTTATAACAGCACGATGAATACATTACTTAACAGAATTTTATTATTTTTCCCGTAAAAAATTCGATTTTATATTTGTAAGAAAACTTCCATCCACGATATCGATAGTATATAGATTAGAAACCTATATACTATCGATAACCTTAGAAAGTTCTCCATGAAGGCATCCCCTTAGTCCTCGCCTTAGCCAGATAACACTCTTGTGCTTTGCCGTAAACAAATAAACCAATCGATAGTATATTCTGTGCCCACGTTCGGCAGAACGATAAAGTCGTAGTTCGACCTGGGTTTAATACTAAGTGATTGTCATGGTTTTGCTCATCTACGACGTGAATACAAGACAATGTCCGTTAGAAAAGTCTTCCACGAAGACATCCTATCCCTTAGGCAGATACCCCTAACTTGCTTTGCCATATTGAAATAAAGCAAACCAAACAGATACTCTGTCCAAAAGCATTCTCTGCATTATTTTGAGAAACCCTGTAATTGGAAAAACATTTCAGGTATCAATATACAGACAGTTTCAGCAAATCGGTTACAAACTTTCGGAAGAGATAGAGTACACCTAGACGATGGAAAAAACATAACAATGCATGCTCGGAAACGCTTTTCTGGGGTGGTAGGGACGACACAAAACACAAGAAAGGAAAGACACAAAGAGAGTGAGAAATGTTTTTAACCCTTCGAAAATCCATAAGTTGTTTTGAAACGGTTTCCGTACAAAGAAAATTGAATACAGTTGCTTGAATGCGAACTGTATGCATTTGTGGGACAATTTTTCCTTCTCAGATTTTCAGCTTTATTTTCAGATAAATCATATCGCAAAAATGGATTAAATCATACTTCTTAGAAATAAATATTACAATCCCTTCCAGTATCTTCTTCAGCTTAATTTCAATTTCGATTTACAGTTTTAAATTTAAATAGTGAATTCAAATGAACAAAACAAATATGATTTAAATTTTGTCGCTTTTCCTGAGACAAGAGCTTTTCGTTAGCTCGACATGTCTTCCTTTCTTTTCATTTACAAATGTTAATTGTAATGATTGTAAATTCAAGGTTATTCAAAACTCATACAAAAGGAACCTCTTATTTCTAATAAAAGCTAAACTTGTAACAGGTTCAAATCGAGGTCAATGCATAGTTTTTTTATGTTTGACAACCCGACTGTATGTCTCAAAAGCAACACTGGGTTACCAAATTCGTCAGAAAAGTAGGGATTTCGGTATTTATTGTTTTGGATTTTCTTCTTTCTACACAGGGTATTTAGACTGTAAATTTTGCTTCAGTGTTCCAGAAGGACACTTTTGTTTTCTCTTGATGCGCCTAAGGCGCATCTTATCAACTCCTGTTTAAGAAATTCGAACACAAAGACTTACTTTTTTTTGCACGATGCTAAAAAATCTGTGTATAAACACTCAGGTTTCCAAACTAGGTAAATAAATGAAGTAAATCTGAAGTCTAAATTAAATATCAAATAAATAATTAGTGAATATAATGTCTAAATTAAGCATAAGTAAATTAAGCATCATATAATTATACTTCTATGCTTCCAATTTCCTTAGGAACTGCGACAAGCTATCAATGATGAGAGACCATTGCCTGGTAAGGAACGCTTATTATTATCTGTGGCTGTTCCAGCTACAAAGGATTATATAGATTTAGGATTCGATGTTCCAGAAATATCAAGGTAAATATAATAGTTTTCATTTAATTTATCACCATATTTAATATGTTTTATGTACATTATGGTTCGAAATCATATCATAATAATTTTTAAGAAATCATCTGTTTAAATGTATACTATTTTCGTTGGCATTCAAATTAATATCCAAGTATATCCTTCGTTACAGCCCGTAAAAGTTTTAGTACATGTCATTTTGCCATCATGTGATTTTCATTTTTTTCCTTCTTATGACAGCTGTAGATACATTAGGTATTTTTTAAATCAGGAGCGAAGAAAAAAGAGCAGTTCCCTACCGGGACTCGATCCACGGATCTCTTAAATACGCGCCGAGTGTGCTGGCCATTTCACCACGAAAGCATGCTAGGAAGGAGGGAGAAATACCTTATATACTTCCCCTTTTAAAGGGCGACTGGGGATTAGGCAACCCGATCGCCAAATCCTCGTGGGGGAGGATCATCATCCACCACCCTTTTAGTTCGAGCGCCCCTGTAGAGACATGAGGTAATAAGCAGTGCGCCCACCGGGATTCAAACCACGTACCCCTCGAATACACGCCGAGTGAGCGGGCCATTACACCACGAAGGCATGCTAAGAAGGCAGGAGAAATACCTTATACAGTAAACTAAAAATGCAATCATTAAATTATAAGGTATTTCTCCCACTTTCCTAGCGTGCCTTTGTGGTGTAACGGTAGCACGCTAGGCCGGTATTCCAGAGGTCCGTGGTTCGATTCCCAGCGAAGGCGTTGTTAATTTTTAATCAGTCCGGCTTCCAACAAAATATCCTAATGTCTCTACAGTGGCGCCCGAATTAAAAAAAAGACTGTGGATGATGATTCTCCACACCCAGGATTTGGCAACTAGATCCCCTAAAACCCTAGTCTCGCTTTTGGTATTCCAGAGGTACGTGGTTCGATTCTCGGCGAAGGCGGTTGCTATTTTTCATCTTTCCTGCATCTAAAAATATACCTAATGTCTCTGCAAAATGACCAGTTGATTCAATGATCAATTAGATCAAATTTAACTTAATTAAACCCTAATATAACCTTTCAGACTGCCAGATGAAGAACGACCATTTTCGTTCTGTCTTTAATGGTCAAAGACTTTACATTAAGTAAATGCAACTATGAAACAACTAAGGATTTATTGACTTCATCTAGAAGTACAAAACTAAACTAATTAACAAAATTTGCCTCCGTTTATAGCGCGATTGATAGGCAACGCTGAAGCAAATTATTTATAAGTTTAAATTTAGATATTAGCCTGCTAATAGTGCTGTTTTCACGACTACTACTAAATGAAATTTCAATACTGAAAAACATTAATGCCTGATAATACCACAGACGCTTCTCACCAACCAGTTGATGTTGTCAAATAGCTCTCTCTCTTAAAATTTAGATTCATATTTAGATTTAAAACGTCTCTCTTATGTACATTCTGATCGAGCAGGTGAAACAGTAGGCGCACGCAACAGATTTTTAACATAATAAACAGCTTGTTAATTAAAATAAATTTAAGTTAATTTTTATTAAGGTTTCGTAAAGTTTTTCTTATTAGAATGAATGTAATGATAACAGATGAAATAATAAATTTTTTTATTTTTAACTTATTAGCACAGCCTCTTAAAAAATGAAGTGTTTTATGTGTATTAATTTTACAGTATTTCAAATCGAAGGATTATAATTATTAACTGGTAATATGTGATGTAAGCTACCTAGGAATGAAATAAACTGGTGTGCAAAAATTAAGGACGAGACGGTTTCAATATAACTTTGTACAAAAGCTTTCCAAATCAACACATTTAATACCGTAAGATCCCCAATACGTAAGGACATGAGTAATGTAAGCAACACTTACTAAAAGAGAAATCAGAGGGATAAAAAGAAGCTTTATTGAAAAAGTAGCATGGAGCGCAATGCGATCGTGCCGGCCAATCCATACGTTCAATATCCTCACTCTCTAAAAACTGTTCGGCAGCTACTGTGCGATGACATGGGGTGCATTGTAGTCCATGAAAAGGAACTGCGGACCCATTGCGCCTCTAAAAAGACGCACATATGGAAGAAGAATATCGTTACAATAACGGGTCTCTTTGACTGAACCTGCGTCGAAGATGTGAAGGTCTGTACGACTACCAAGCATGATGCCTCCCCAAACGAGAACACCGCCACCTCCATACCTGTCCCTTTCAATGATGTTCGAGGGATGATTGCGGCTTCCCAGCTTTCTCCAGATGAGTATGCGATGAGAATCGCTACTGAGACTGAATCTGCTCTCATCTGTAAAGAGTACTCGTCCCCATTCATTGTCTCTCCAATTCCTGTGTTCCCGGCACCACAGAGAACGCCTTCTCCGATGGGCAGGCGTTAAATTGTCTCCAAAGTCGTAAAACGATGCTGTGAGCAATTCCGAACTCTGCAGCCACACTTGTCACACTGCGGCCTTCCTCCAACTTCCCAATAATTCGACCTCGGGTAAAAGTATCCAGATGTCTAACAGATTGATTACTCGCCATTTCTCGCTGAGGCAGCAACTCGGTGTGATTTTAACTGCTATACGGCGTGCAATCTCTTTGCCAGAAATACTGATCTTACACCGACAACATGTTTTATACTACTCAGACACTCCCCCATTACGTCTACCTGCATATCTGCGCATGCGCTACCGTACATCACCTTACTTAATCTCCTGATTGGTCTTTCTGTCCGCTCTGCCTCTTCGTTCAGCTGATATGCTAATTTTTCGACTTCGTCCTTAATTTTTGCACACCAGTGTATATTACTTGATGTTTTCACTATTATTCACACTTCGTAAAAAGTTTGAAGACTGGCTGCGTTGGAAAATATTTATACGTGTTGGTAGAAGTATAAGAGGACACCATTTATTTACCAAATGGTAAAACAGATGTTGTCCTCATATGCTAACTATCCAGAAACATCAATACCTCACAGATCTCTAAAGTCCGCAAAGCATAAACGCTTGATCGATTTCACACTGCCTTCTCTGCCACAGCCAGCGGATAGTTTGTAATTCCAATCATTTAGTCCATGTGATTTAGTGGTATCTTGACATATTATTAAATAGATTTTCATTTAACATTGTATATTTATATTTCTGTTTCACAGAATGCTTGGTTCTTTCAAGTGATTTTATTTTACTTCTTTCTATTTATTTCAGATTTCCACCAGCTTATTTTATTGATCTGTGTTTGGTTCTTTAAAAGTCTTGTTACAACATTGTTGTATTTTTTACTTTTGACAAAGTAGAATCACTGCCATTCTTTGCCTGAATAACAGATTGAAAGAGTTTTCGTCATCACCAGTTTTCGGCAATTGTTACGAGTTTTCACAATCCCCAATGGTGCCTTTTTGGATTACTTGGTAGCACGTCTGACTAGCTATCGGAAAATTTTAAGTTTGAATCTGGCAAGAGCATACTAGCTTTCTCAGGTTTATTAAATCAAAAAAAACTTTAAATATCTAAAATGTGGCGCACGACTAAAAATTTGATGGATTACAATTCATCACTCCCTCGATTTGACAGCTGGGTCTCCTCTCTCCTAATTCTTCCGTCGGGAAGAATGTATGGAATTTTCACTTTCCCCCTGTAATTGATAGCATTCCCGACTAGTAATCGGAAGATCTGGAGTTCATACTCCAATGAGGACATGGATAATTTTTGGCATTTCCTGCATCATGAAAGCCTAATAGAAATTAACAATGTTGATAAATAGTTTCACCCATTTGCAGAATGAGATTCATAGTTGAGCATTAATAAGTTGCAATGTAATTGATTAATAACCAAATAGCAATGTACTTGCAAGTATAAGTAATTCAATTATATAACATTCTAAATGAATTATTTGTACTCGTAATTACAGTATAATGGCTGCTACAATTATAATGAAATTGTATTCATCATAATGCAATTGTAGTTATAAATAGCGAAATGACAAGGTAATTGAATTACAATTAATTCAGTTACAAGCGAGTTTAATTACATTATAACTGTAATTACAAAAAGCAATTGCATTGTATTTATAATTACGAAGTAATTGCATAATATAGCTCTGTAATACATTTTGCCCAACCCCACCAATATATTTGGAATTACTAGTATTATAATGTATTTTACAGTTCGAGAAGCTTGAAATGCACGTTCGTGTGCGTTTATTAAATTGTTGTTTGTGTGCGTTTACTAAAACGTTGTTTATTAAATGGGCGTTTAGAAGAATGTCTCCCAGAAACTAGCAAACACTGAAGTGGGAGATTCTTGGTGATAATACTCCGTCTCTCTCGAAAATCTTCAAATAGAATCGATGTCTTTATTTTCTGAAAAGAAGACAAATAATGTAAGCATAAGATATATAGAAAGTGAATAATTCTCTGCTGTAGTTGAAATAACTATATACGCAAGGCCGTATTGAATGGGCTTGGGGACATTAAGATTATAGCGTATTTTGAGCTTCAGTTTCAGGTATAGTATATGTTGATGGTGCTGTTACACGATAATGCTCCTGCTTATGTGTCACAGATTCTTCTGCAAATTAGAAGTTCTTATCCTTCTACCATGTACCAGATTACCGTGACCTGTACTGCAAGATTACCTATTTCCTAATTTCGCATATGGAATAAGGATATTCGGTTTTCCATCGCGGAATGTTTGCAAATGGCAGCTTAATTTGAGAATATCTCAAACAGTCCGTTCCAGAAATGCTTCAGTGATCTCTATCAAATACTGGCAGAAGTGTATTGTTTCGAAAGGACATTCTTTCAAAAGGCAATTGATTTCAGAATCGCAGATATAATCATTTAAGACTTATGGACTCAGCCCCAGGACATTTTAATCCTGCTTCACGTACGAGGTATGGGATTTTTATGACTTAGAACATTATATTTCGTAGAGATCTTAAACGTTCAACTTTTGATTTAAAAGTTCATTTTAATTTTCTAACTCTTTATTTTATGTTAAATTACTTTGTAGAGACATTGGGTATTTTGGGGAAAGCCGGAGAGATAAAAAATTAGCAACCACCTTCGCCGGGAATCGAACCACGGACCTCTGGAATACCGGCCCAGCGTGCAGAACCACTACACCACGAAGGCACGCTAGAAAGGCGGGAGAGATATCTTATAACTTTTCTATTAACCCTCGTTCCATTTCCATTACAGAATGCAAATTTCTATCTGTACTTCTCTCAGGAGACTATCGGTACAACGACTGTACCTATGGACGACCATTGTGCCATCGCTTTAGAGAAGAATTGGTCATAAGTCAATTTTTTCCACTTACATGACCACCTTGATTTCCAGATCTAGCCCCACGGGGATTTTTCTTCTGGGTTATTTGTAGCTCAACGTCTATATCTTGATGGGACTCCGACCTTGACTACTTTAAAGGACAGCATATCATGGGCTGTGTTGGTCACATGTTACGTATAATCTCTGAGAATGGTGTGCACAGGATGCAATGTGTGACCTATGAAAGGAGGTCACATTCTAAGAGGTCTATGCTTTTTCCAAGGAAGTATTTTTGTTGAATAAAGTGCTATAGTGCGTTGAAGTGTTATCTCTCTAACCCTTTGGAAAAATTAGTTTACTGCATTAAAGCGGTGTTGCACGAAAATCTCGTTTTTGTTATTGATTTGTCCAGTTCTCAAGTGCATCGACTAGGGCAGCGTCACTTTTCCGCCTATCGCAATTTTCGTAAATAATTGTTTTCAAGGAATATTTTTTCTCGTGTCGTTATTGGTCCCACTATCAAATTTGGTAACATTCCAGCTCATAGAGCGAGCTACAGTTTATTGTGAGAAGTGTCAGTTCAAAAGTAAGCATCCTGCGCATTTCACTGGGCTTCGTCATTTCCGACACGCCTTCAGTCTCGGACATGAACTCTACCGTATATAACATATCTCAGTCTTCTCAAATTCAAATTGCATGCAGGCCGAATGCACGATCTAAAAATAACTGACAGGCCGGATTTTTCTTTTTAACAAAATAACAAATATTTTAAATACATTTTAAATTTAGCTTACTAATATTTATTAAACATACATAAACAATAATAATGTAGCACGAAAAATTCAAATTTATAATTATTTTCTATCTGATATCTTAAGTTTGATATCTCTAAGACATTTTTGTTGGCTACACTTTGTCATTCCTACATATTTGCAGCTAAATATCAGATTCTTAGGTTCCCATTTCTTTCAAACTATTCTAAAATGTTTGGTTAAGCATTAATTTAACGTACTTGAGTTTAAACGAAAAATTAATAAATTATCAAAACTTTCTAAGGTTTCAGGGAAAATTTACTAAATGGAACAAAACTTGAGAATAAATGACAACAACCTAGTATCTTTTTCTTACTCATTAATTTTTTTTAACTCATAAATAAAAATAAATTTGTTCGTATGTAAATAATTATAAGCTTCTTTATTTCTTACTACAGCTGATACTTGGCGTTTTGATTCTGGTAAAGTGGTAGCCTTGGAAAGAAATTACTATAAATTATCTTCATGACAGATTCTTAATGCTCATCGGTCATTCGGTTCTTTTCTAATTAATTTTCAATTGTGAACAAAAAGGTGTTCATATATAAATGTGCTTCCAAACAAAGCGACTATTTTTAGTGGAAGAATTCGTAACTGAGCGTATTTATTTTTTAACAAGCATGAATTAAAGTTAATAAAATCCGTAATTTAAAATCTTCGAATAAGGTTGATATAGCGTTATGAATTAATTAGTTCCATTTATAGATTTATTATATGTTATTCACGTTCATTTTTTAATTTAAATGAAACTAATGCAAACACAGATTTAAAATCTTTGCAACACAGTACTTGCAACAAGTACATGATAATTACCATGCCACAGGGGGAATTCTCTTCATGACATGTGAAACTCTGTGTTGGGATACGTGATCTGTGTAGATGAGAGAATGCTTCAGGCCTCTCACAGATACACAATTGTTTTCTAATATTATGGCTACAAATATCATAGTCTGACGCGCCGTTTCATGGCCTGTTGTGGAGGTTGCGGGCGATAGCAAAATGGCACACTTTGCACCTGCTGTTTTGTTCATATGTTTGATTACCTCTGAAAGTTCAGCAATTGGCTAGACTGACAAATGCCGGAAGCAAGATAAATTGACACATCTTCAGGAAAAAAGCACATCCATTATCATTATCATTATCTGTCGTGTCTAATTATAAGTAATTAGACTGAATAATTTATTTTAAGTAGATCGCTATAATATTTTTTTTTTACTTTATCTTCAAAATATTTTGCTGCAGTACAAGGTCGGTGCCGTGGCATCCTAAAGAGCCGCTGCACATCAGCCTTGAAGCACTGCTCTTGATTTTTCTGAATTCAAAGATCTGAATATGCTATTTCAACAAGTACAGATTCTTTATTTCACACTCTTAACTCACACTCTCAAATATGTGCTACTTTTTTTTTCCACATAAGATAAGTTTTATTCCTCTAAAGCTTGTTTCAGTTTGCGATAGAAATGCTTCTTTTCCCTTTCACCAGCTGTAAAGACAAATTTAGCAGCTGCACAAAACCACTTTGAACCGCCTGCTTGTCACATTCAAGGATGTTGAATAGCGTCACCCTACCCACAAGAAAAATATTCTTTTCTGTTCCCTAATCTAAAATCCCTATATGAAAATTAACAAAGGCGGTCCCTTAATGGTAGGCTACCAAACGAGCGGTAGCTCCCATTGCAATGCCAGCTGAAAGGAGGTGGAAGTGCATCTCTAGTTCCCGTCTTTTTACATAAACTTTGAATTGTATCATCCTGATACCACCCCGGTCTGAACAGAGGTTATAAATATCCTCTTTTCATTTTTGCAGCATTCTAGGTATTGGAAAATTAAGCAATGAGTTTCTCTTAAGGGTCCAAGCCCCATTTAACTCCGACTATGTCTCGTTGCTGATACCTTACGACTCTTTTTACGTCGACGAGTCTTTCTTTGAGGAAACGGTGAAGGGATCATATCAAGTGCATTAATTTAGAACTAAAATCAATTTTGATTTAATTGAAATAAAATCATTTAAAAAAAAATCTTTTCAATGAAATAGGTAGCGCACTTTAAAAAATAAGCGTGCACTGTATGAAACGAATAAACGATTAACAGTTGGAATAGGGTAAATATTAGGAAAAAATAATCTTTATGTATAACATATAACATTATGCAACATAAAATTTCATTGTACTATTTCTGAAAGAAATTGTTCTAATATTCTGAATTAATAGGTGAGGGATATTTCAAGAGTCAATGATGAAAAATGTGTAAATAATTTCTTTTTTCAGGCACCTGATTCTTCAGCTAAGAGATAATTCGATATCCCAAAATGGCTGTACTTAATTTAAGTTTCTTAAAGCAAATTAATTTTGTTGTTTATTAAAAAAATGAAGAATAAAAACTGAGATATCAAAAAATCTCTAAAGTCAAGCAACCAGTTTTATGCTAATAATTTAGAATTTCAAACTATTAACTGAATTGTTTTATTAGGTATGCTGATTTCTTGAACCTGTTAACGTATGACTACCACTCAGCATATGAGCAGGAAACTCATCATCATGCTCCTTTACTTCCTCCTTCAGGGCTGGATCCTTTGGATTACAGGAATCAGTTAAATGTTGTAAGTATTTGTTACTGACATGTTAGAAAAATTGGGTTTTTATTTAGTTTTCATCCAAAATACGATCATTCAGTCAGTTTACTGTTTACCATCTTGCTTCAAATTTATATTTCTATAAGATTTCGTCATTTTAGTTTTTCATATTAGGCTATAATGAAAAAATTTAAGGGCCACAAATATTAAAAAGCATTCGCAATTCCGAAAAAAAAAAAAAAAAAAAAAAAAAAAAAAAAATGTTTTCTTGTAATTTCGCTATTCCGAATCTTTTGAATCCTCATCTAAAAAGCGTTAAACATTTTTATTCAAATCTTTATAAATATTAATTTTTTGGTATCTAATGAAAGTGATCATTAAAGAAAATTGAAAAATTGTTGCAATTTGAGGGACACTAATATCACTTTGTTACGATCGATAGAAGTAGACTTTTAGATTTCTGAAAGAATTAATGATCCCACATATATTGTTTTTCTCTGTGTATCTCTAATGAATTCTTAAAACATATTCCTGGCTTTGATTTTAGGATTCTGGAAAAATGTAAAAAATACGAGATATTACTCAAATACTTCATAGCAGATTTTACTAACTCAGTGAACGTCGAGATTATTGAGTTTATTTATGTACTTCTTTATATATTCTTAGCAAATATAGGTAACTAAAATACTTAGTTTTTTCCTCTCCCACAAAACTTTAAACGTTTTTAATTATTTTTACAAAATAAATGTTTTTTTAAATTTGACATTTCCGAAACATGATTATTTTAGTCATTTAAAACACTTCTGCAATTGGAATTATATGACCAAGGGTGCATAAGGGAGTGTATATATGTTTGGTTCTGCCGATTGCAATAAAAAAGTAAAGTGGCACAATTAGATGTTATAGCAGTTTCATATACAAAGTTTGAAGGTTCTACGGCTAATCGTTTTTTGAGTTTTGCAAGATAATACTGTAGAGACTTCAGGATTTTTTTTTAAACAAAAGAGATTTAAAATAAGCAACGCCTTCTCTGGGAATCGAACCGCGGACCTCTGTTATACGCGCCCAGCGTGTAGACCACCACACCACGAAGGCAAGCCAAGAATGCGGGAGAAATACCTTATAATACAAATATACATGCGATCGTTCGTACATGCGGACGAACATCAAGGAAAAACTCATTTGAAATCCACTTCAAATCCATTTTACGATCCCTTTCTTTTATTTTGTATATACGGAAATACATACCGAAAATTCTGTACAGACATGACGGAAACAAAAAGAGTCCAAATGGATTCGGGATAAATGAATACGTTGAAATGTGATACCCGAAATTTTTTGCGATTACAATACTTCCTTTATTTCATACAAGTAAAAAGAGCATAAAACCAATTTTGACAATGATTTAGGTTTGAACAGAAAATTTAGTTAACACCACTGTATCATAACTAGAAAAATTAATAATCCATAACAACTTTTGCTTACATTTTGCTGCTCAAAATGTAAATATGTAGAAAATTAAGAGTAAATCAAAATATCAAATACACATGTCCGGAAGTCTTTGTTTTAAACAAATGAAAATAATGTTTTTCAGAATTTTATCTCCAAGTTTCTCAATAAAAATAATTTTAAAGCGGCACTTCATAAAAGAAAAGTTAAAGCGGTAAAAAGAAGATACCTGAAAAATTAATGAATGATAGTATTTGTTTTAAAAAAGAAAATTCTGCCAATTAGATATTTACTTATTTTTCCATATTTGCATATAAATGTTGAAATGATTCAGTCATCAAATTCAAACATGAATTTTAATATGCATTCATAGGCATGGACAGTGGAGTATTACTTATCCCTTGGTGCGCCACGTCATAAATTGGTTGTTGGCGTTCCCATGTATGGCAGATCCTATACACTTTCTAGTCCTCAGATAGCTTACGGTTATGAAGCCCCTGCAAAAGCCCCAGGAGAGGAAGGAACTGCTACCAGAGAGAAAGGTTACCTCGCATTTTATGAAGTAAGAAAGCAACATTTTTTTCACTTTTTTTTTTATTTTAGATACAACAGTCAGTAATCGATAACAAAATGCGTAATAGTATTTTGTTTGAAGCGCCCTAAACTAGAATTTTATAGATCAGTATTTGATGCTAGTATATGTAAATATTTGTGTTTACTTTATTTTATTTCATTTTCATATATTTTTACAGTGTTATGTATTATTTTTATATATTTGTTTATTGGGTGAATCTTATGGAATAATATTTTGTGAGTTTTTGTTTAATTGTATTGTGTCTTACGAGAGTTCGTGGTAGCATAATGTTGTTGAACTTCGAATTTTGAACCGGTCTACGGTTGAATTCTGAAAATAGCTGAATTAGAAGCTGGTAGTTTGGCATAAACATTGCTGTTGCATTTGGGCAAAATTTTGTGTCTCTGAATTGGCAATATTAGGCAATTCTCAGGAAGTACATTTTCAAAGCACTTGCAGTGATTTTTTCTGGAAGTGCTTCGTTGAACAGAATTTCTCTTGCCTCTGTTGTTCTTCTTGAGATATTTATAGCTGTTCAATCGGTATGGACTATTATGTATATTTCAATAAAGTCTCAATATCTTCTTGCTAATCTGGGGCAACTAAAGATAACTTTGCGAATCCATAGTTCGAAACATTATAGATAAAATCTGAACAAATTGTCTTTCCTCTAAAATATCAAAAATTGCACTTTTGTTTATCTGTATTTCGTATTAAACTGCTGCAATGCGCGTATTATCTTTGAAAGCTACTGAAGAAGTGAATCTTCTTACCGCCATGAGAAAAATACGCTCTTCTAGGTGTACAGTAGCACCCCCGCATCCGTGGGTAATTTGTTTAATGAGCACACAGCGGATAATAGTGAACGCTATGTAAAATAGGTTGTTCATACAACACACATAAATTCGACAAATTATAATTGATGAATATAGCAACATAAGACGTTATTAATATTAAAAAGTAATAATAAAATATACTGTACCCTATATTACTTCATATATTGTACTGTTAATATGAAGTAATGTAAAATTTACTCTCTATTGCTACATATTCTTTATCTCTTCTAGGCGTATTAAGTTGCAAGGTTTATTTATGTTAATTAAGCACATGTTTTATGTTACGAACCTGTACTGTCACTTCCCTCTTTCCATTTTCCTGCCAGAATGCAAATTAGATCATATATGTTTAAGCGAGGGTTGAGATTGTTTTAGTGAGAGCGTATTCTGCTTGCTGAAGGCCACGTTACTAGTTATATTTTACGATACGCATTTCTGTCTACATCGTTGCTTTATTCTCGACGATAGTGCTGTCACGCCGATGTAGGTTGAGAGCCAACTTCCGCGTTTAGGCTTTGTCTAATAGCTACTTAGATTTAGTTCAATTTAAAATTCTACTTTTGAGTTCACGCCATAAAGGCTGTCTGATTTGTATGTTCCCAGTGTGCCTTCTGTTTACCATATTTAGGATTAAACAAAAGGAAATTTTACACCCTTCAAACGTTTCTGTTTGCTTATCTAGACATAGTGATAAGTCGCTTAAGTCTGAATCTTGACTTAGAGTATGTTACCAAAACATGTGAAACTCTACAAAGTAAGGAAGTAGGAAAACGTAAGCTGATCCTTAAAAGGCGAGTCAAAAATTCAGACATAGAGCTCTTGAATTATGTAATGTAGTGAATAATTTCAAGAAATGGCAGAAATAAAATTCTTTCTTTTTTCTAACAAAGCAACATCCCCCCCCCCAAAAAAAAAAAAACTTTTTGTGGCCACAAATTTTAGAATGAAAGTTTTGTGCTTACCTATACATAACACGCAATAAGGAAATTTCCCTTTTGGAAAAGGATAATGATTTAATGAGGGATTCAGCGATATCTATAAAAGTTATGTGATGATATTGCAAGATCTAAGACAGGCAGAGGAAGTAGGATGATGGTGTACTTGGATTTAATTGAAGAGACAGGGTAAGGATCTTGAGGATCATCATCTTTATAAGCTGAAGAAGAACAAAGAATTCAAAGCTTTTTCTGCTGTCATTAGCATTTTAACTTCCCTATAATAGGCTTTGTATGACAGAAAATTAACAGGAATTATGGTTTTCCTTATTCTTCAATCTTTCACGAGTTGAAAAGTCATTCTGACGATAAAACCTGAAATTTGTTCTATTGGATTTCGCTCTGCCACGCACAATATCTATTATTTCCAAAATTTTTACTCTCTTCCTAACGAACGGTTTCTCCTAAGATTACAAGTCATGTTCACTACTCTTAGGCTCTGAAATAAGAAATTTCTAACTGCGAAAGATGTAACAAATTGTCGCTAATAAGATTAAGAAGATTACTAAAAGTAGAATGAAGGAAAGTTAAAAAAAATATATGTTAAATGCGAGAGCGAAAAACTCAGATGCTTTAACTAGTGGAGCCGTGGTTTCCTGCTGCCATTTTTATAGGCGTCAGGGGGGAGGATATAAAAAAAAAAAGTGCGAGTCTGATGAGGGACCTGTAACCTGAGAATATGTTTCAGGTTCCGAAGTTTATCATTTTCATCCCCTTCTCGTTTAGTTATATCCGTTAGAAGAGAGCACGTATCTGCATATTGTAGTAATTACCGTTGGGATTTAGTACTTAGTTTATTTCAATGGCTATATTTCATGGCATATATTTTCAAACTTAAATACTTTATTCTTGCATTACGAACCATCGTTAACTGAAACTGCGGAGGAGGGGGGGGATGACTCTAATTGTATATTACGCATTACGTTTACTTTCAACTCATCTGCAATAGAGGTTTGAATCCCGCGAACGGGCTGGCTGCATGGGTGTTTTCGTGGTTTTCTTCATGTGTAACATGTATACGAGCCAGGCCCTAGTGTGCTTTGCCATAATTAAATACACCACCACCACACCACATCTGCAGTAAAATTATACCACAAGGATTAAAAATGTAATATAATAAGTAAGGCATTTCGTTAGTAAATTACTAGAGACTTATCGAGTGAGAATTCGAAATAGTTTACGTCAGTCCCCTTTATTTTTAAATAGTGCTAATTAAAAAAAAATATGCTCGATATTTAAAAAAATGGGTCGGGAACTAGTTGAAGACTCAGAATATCTTGTTTTCCGCATTGTAATTTAGGCTTTGCTATAAACAAATGTACTCTCTTTTTCCAGAAATTGCTGAAAATTAAAAATAATATACAAAACAACGAAAATCAAGTTATCCTCTTGATAATGACCTTTTCTCTCCCTGCTTCACTTTTAGTTGCCTTTCTCAACCATTTTCAGCGACCGAAATCCAGTACCTGTATGCTGTTGTTATTTTCGTTTGGCATTTCGGTGCATCGTATCCTAATTAGGGCATTTGCTTTACAAGGAATGTTGCCCTTTGTATAGTCGTTGTTTTACACTTTGTTAAGGTAAATTTCCTCATAAGAAGAAAATTCTTTTCTTCTCTGCGGTATTCCATATGTATGTGTGTGTAAGAGATAGAAAAAATGTAAATCAAAATTATAATTTAAAATGCCTCTTAATTGCTTATTTTTAATTTGGGTACTTCGTCTCTAGTAATAACTTTCTCTAAACTGCGTCATATCTGAAAACGTATTCCGCATTATGTCATCTTAAAAACTTCTGCATTGCCTATAAGTTTTAGCCAATCAGATTAACGAAAAATTTTACTATAAATATTGTTGCAATCCTACTACCCTCCCTCTTTCTCTGCCTGTGTTTGCTGGCTAAAGAACGTCTCTTGCTTGGCTGTTTTTCTTAAAAATGTAATGCGCCATCATCAAAATTGTGGGGTGCAAATTGCCCCCCCCCATTTTGCGATTCTTCAAAAGCTCCCTGCATCTTCTGCTACGTAACTGATATTTTCAGTGATCTTCTAATCGTCAATCCACTAGAGAATTAATGTCTTCTTTAGTCAAGCATTCATCTTTCATCAATTTACTGCATTTTACTTACTAAATGTTATAATGATATATATATACATGTATATTATGCCTCCGTGCTCTATTGTTCAGCAGTGCGTAAGGTATCTTATATTTGCTTCAATTTCTTTTAATTGACAAAATAAGCGATTTAAAAGCACTATGATGAAATTTTGCCCTTGACCTTCAATATAAGAGTAAGGCTGTAGAGGCATTAGGTATTCTTTTGGAAGCAAGCAAGAGGAAAAATGAGCAATCGCCTTCGCCGGGAATCGAACCACGGACCTCTGAAATACCGGCTCAGTATGCTGACCACTCCTCTACGCTAGGAAGGCAGAAGAAATACCTAATAAAGCCACTATCTACATAAGATTTAGAAATCCCGCCGCACGGGTTCCACACTCAGAACGTTTATATCAAATCATACAGTCTTTAAAAGCAGCATATCTTTATAATGCTGAATAGAGTGTTAAGTGTTGCCATGAATTTTTTAATATTTAATATATTTACTACTTTGAAAATAATACATAGCGATAACATTTAGTGGCAACATTTTTTTTTTTTTTTTTTTCTTTTTTCAAAAGCAATTCAATACGAAAGTGAAATGGACACAAAATTGATGGATAAGACAAATAATCCCTCTGAAGTAATAAAAATACAGAATAGAAAAATTCGATGCCAAGTTATACCTATCGAAATGCCACCAAAGAGAAGATCAGAAAAAACCTGCAGCTGAAAGAAAACAAGCTATCCTTGGCGTCGAAAATACCTGAATAACAGAAGCTTCGTTTACAGTTGGAACGTATGAGAACGTATGAACGTATTCTATACATCTAAGGCAAGGGAAAGTTCATACAGCATGAGCGTATGAAAGCTTCTACCTGTAAGGGAAAGCGAACTTCAGAGGAGAGGGGATTACATATACAAGATCGATGTAGGCATGAAGAATCGAGAGTGGTGTATCGGCATCCAGGGCTAAAATTTGGAGCATTTAATTACAACTCAGATTATGATTTAATCATTTTATAGTAACAGAACAGAAACAGAAGGATGTCATATCTAACCATTATCAGGTAAAGAAATATAATTGCAAAACACCGAGAATGTGTTGCTCGAATGGAAAGGAAAGCTATTGAACATCCAGAGGCACTGCTATCTAATTTATCTGGTAGCGGAGCAGATTCAAAGTATTTCCTAAATAATATAAGGGCATACAATTCAAGCTTTCAAATGGCATCATTCAGTGACATCATGTGTAGCGCAAGAAAGTGGTTTCATGCCTACGTTTAAGGTTACTGGGTCGAATTTACCACAAAATTCCATCCTTTCTTCTCCTTCCAGATCAAATTGTTAACAAGTCTACTTTTTGAATGGTGAAATGTTAGAGGCAAATCAGTGATGTGCTAATATATATGGCGTGCTTGAAGATATCGTTTACAACCTTCAAAGACCATTTCATTTGCAAAATCACTTGATAAGAATGTTTAAAGCAGGATTAGAAAGGATGCCCACTAACGAGTAGAAAGTAATCATACGGGTCGACAAAAAGCCATTCAGTTAATACGAACAGCTTTTAACGTCCCAACCATTAGCGATGTAGCTATAGTTATTGGTGGTGTGGAACAAAACGAATAATACGATAACATTATTTTTCAGGCGCGAAAAGGAAAAAATTGCTGAGGATTACAGAAACACACCTTTCATACGAAGGTCTGCAGTATCCTCTGAAGTTCTGGGGGAGTGAGGATGTTTACCTCTTTGACATCAAGAAAAACAATTGTTGCACAGGAAACAATACGCAAAAGTATCTTGTATGGACGGCTTATGGACAACATTGTACTGATATAGAGATTGCGAAACCATATCTGGCGATTACCCCAGTTGTTTCATCTATAAATCCTGGATATAAATTGTTCATCAATAAATCGTGGATCGAAATCGAAATTAATAAGCCTTTTTATATAAGACTAAATCAGCAAAACTTTTGTGGTAACGATTATATTTATTAACGGGATGCTTCGGACAGTTACTGGAATGTCTTCGGTATAGGAAGAATGACCATACTTTCTGTTACGTTTACTGGCAGTATGAGACATATGCATGAATATACTCAAAACTCATGTCCTGCGTCGCAACTATGGACGTTCGGATCTTTCTGTAATCTATAAATGCAACCTTAAATGACCAGAGATTACAGTTAAACTTACTGGAAGGATAGGTACCGATTGCTTGCCACGTTCTAACAGCAATAGTGTTTAAGCATAAGCTTAGCAAATTTATTGACGTTATTTCGAAACGCCACATATGTGTAGACACCCCTTGCTGAATGTATTCAGTTGAATGGCAAAAGTGAGGTCTTCCACATGAACACATATTGGTATGGCTTAAAGAAAGGATCCGGCCGACCAAAGTAGACAACAGAATTTCTTCAGAGCTGCCAGATCTTCAAAAGGATCTATTGCTATACCAAATAATGTTTAAAAAAAAAAAAAAAAAAAAAAAAAAAAAAAAAAAAAAAAAAACAGGATTCTTACGTAGTGCAATCCTTTAAACTGAAGGACGCTTTGCATCAATATAGCAAATATACTAATAACTACCCATGAACACTCATAATAGTACATAGTCATGCATAATGGTTATTCGTTGTACAGAAGACGAAAATTATGATGTCAGGGACCCTCACTTTTTAAAAATGCTTCACACGCACATCAATACCTAGTACTGTCACTCTTTCAAATCGATTAAGTGCAACAGCAAATATGTCTCCAATGGTAGAAAATATGTCTGGCAATGGCAGCAAATATGTCTCCAATGTATGTTGACCTTCTTAGCAAAACAACAGCATAGTTTCAGCATTTCATTTCCCGTTAACTTGTAATGATTCTATACGTAACATAGATTATTTTTCTTTTGAACTAGTATATTTTTCGCTATTATTCTATCAGCTTGCATAAATCTTCTCTTTCCTTACCGTGTAGAATTGTCGCATTTTTGGCATGTTTTGAAGTACGCTACTATAATAGCCACGGCCCATGCAAGCATATCAATATATATGTGTTTGAGTACACGTGATATATTTATTCATCATTAGAGTAGATATGGTACATTTAGCCATCATTAAAATATCTGCTATGAAAATGTAAATAGCGAACATGTAAAGTAAATTTTTTCTCAATAAATTTCTTAGTTTCTCTAAAATGCTTCTCGTTATAATTTACGAACAGAATATCCCAGATTCATCTATAACCGGATCAATATTGATCCCATTTCTGGTAAATATTAAACCAAATTCAAAGTTTTTCTGTCAAGAAGAAATATTTTTCAGTACTTATGTTTGAGAATATACTGGATATTTTTAAGATTTATTTCCAAAAATATATTATCGATGATGAAAACTAAAATTGTTATTTTGATATATTAATAATGCCCAGTTTCTATAAATTAAATATTTTAATTATAAAATAATTTGAATTTGAAATATATTAGCTTATTTAAAATGAATTCTGTATTTTGCATAATCGAAACTGCCTTACTCACCTCAAAAGACACGCTATATTCCTAGTGCATAAACTTAATAACAATTATCATTAAAATTACGTATTTAGATAATTAAATTTAATTTTTCTTTCTTCAGATATGCCAAAAAGTAAAAGAAGATGACTGGGAGGTGGAAGCTCCATATCCTACAACTGTTGGTCCTTATGCATACAAAGATGATCAGTGGGTTGGGTTTGATGATGAAGAAATGGTACTTAATAAGGTAAACACTTTATTATAATTTTAAATTTTTAAATTCGTAAATTTTCTGACATCCGCTATTACACACCAAAATTGCAATCATGAAATGAGACCATAAAATGTGCGTCAGCAAGATGCAAATTTAGAGGTATGTTTAGCAAAATAAGCTATGCAAATGTTTTCAGTCTTCAATCAATGTCATAGTTTTAAAATAAATAAAAAGAGGAAACTTTAATTTATTAAACTAAATTTGTGAGATATTTCCTGTTAATTAGCCAAACATGATTTGAAACCTTTATTATAACTTCTTCTTTCCGCAGTGCTCACCATGTTGCAGATTAATTGGTTGAGTATTTAAGTCGAAGGTTGAATGTCTTAAAGTTTTTAGCAGCCTCGTCTGCCGTTTATGTCCTATCGCCAGATCTGCCATTGATTATTCCGGCTTCAACCATTTCGCTAGCCGATTTTAAGAACGCGCCATTAAAAATATTGAGCCAGTTTCCGACTACATTACATTTAATTCGAAATTTCAACTTTTATTATTTTAAATACCCTCAAATAGCGTTGGTTAGCATTATAAGCAGGAGGTGTTATGTTCAAGATTAAATAAAACTGTTGTTTAAAACCTTCTCTACATATTTGTTATTTTGGACGTGATAGTCTCATAAAATCAGAATGACTTTGATTCAATATTTTACATTTAGGACCTATAACTTCTAAAACTTTCTCCAGGATAAGGAAACTGTGTTCTTTGAAATACTTTTCGTCATATTTTTCTGGAAATGATAAGTTGACTAAATTTTAATCATAAGCCTTCCTTTTGTGGCAGAAACGTTAACCCGTGGTTTGAAGCTGGAGACAATATTTGAAATAGTAACGTAACTGATCAGACTGGCATCAAGATGAGGGGCACACCGCATCCGGTGTCATGTAGTAGCATCCCTGCAATATACAGCTGGTATCTTTCTACTAGATGCACCTCGATAATCTAACACTAACGCAGAAAATTTCTTTTAGCAATCCACCAACATGAACCATCGTTCGCACACCACAGGTAGCCGAGTGACGAATGGCACAGTATGACGTCCAGTATTCAGCTCGATTCTGTTTCAGCAATGGTGAACACAGATTGAAAGTCTAAAAGATTCACGTGGCAAATAGGCTGCTCCTTCTGCTATTTTTAAGCATAACAGCTTTCATCAGTTTAGAGTATTTAGAGTACCTTGAGTGCAGAATTTCAGTTAAGTAATACAATCCAATTCAATGTAAACCGAGCGCTCAGTTTATTCATAGCTGTCGAAACAACTGAAGGAACCCAAGTAATGATTCTTTTGTTTAAATAAATTTCCTTTTCATTTAGTTCAGTTTCTTGTAATTATAATGCCTCTTAAAACCTACTTATGAATTTGTATGTCCAAATTTTTGCCATTTGAAAATATTTTTTCATGGTGTTGGACGTTCACCATCCATTGGAATTGTCCTGTAAAACTTCCAACTGTTATACGTTTCCCATTATTATTCTTAAAATCACCGTCACAGCGAATTCCGCATTTAAAACTGATCCTACTTCTTTAAGGCATTAAAATTAGTTTCGTGTGATATTATGAGTTCTAATTCTCTTATTAATAACATATTTATAGGATTAGTATTTAACACTGTTAGCAGTGAAATTTCAATGTGTTATAATTGCTTATTAATGAGGGAAAAGGACCATAAAAGAAATATTAAATGATTTGAAAGCATCCATTTTTCCAACACCAAGATGAGGGTAAATTTTTGGTTAATTATTATTAAATTTTCTTTTTTACCTTAACACTATTTAAAGTTTGTTTTCATTTTAACTGCACTTTTACTATGATATTTTCATCATCAATGTGCAAATAGTTAATATTTGACTTAATTTTTTCTAAATTAAATTAATTATTTAACGAGAAGATATATTTTAATTAAGCATTTTTTCCTACTGAAGCTATTCACAATTTGCTACTAATATGTTATCTTTTATAAATTAATTATTCTTTTATATTTATGAATTTTTATTTTCCTAATCACTCTAAATTTTAACGTCGGGAATAAAAATACACTTGATGCTTCAATCTTTAAGAAATATTTGATTTAATGAAAATAAAAAAGGTGTTTTTTTGTTTGATTTTATGTGATTACGGCAAAGCCTCGAGGGCTATCTATCTAAAGTGACTAACTTTGTACGTGCCTCGTCAACTCAGTGACACTACACGACTGGTACTACCCAACTCAATCCCCCGATATTAGGCACGAGGCGGGCTACCCAGCAAAAAAGCCACCTTGGAGATGGTCGTACACTCCAACTGAGGTCCCGGTGCCCACATCACTAGGAACAACAGCTTCAAAGAAATCTCCACTTGCAGAGCAGGCCCACCGCTACACTGGTCAACCAATACCACCGTCCCAGCGATCAGAGACCACGATGGGGTGCGCTGAATGCCTGGAGCGATGACTGGTCGTCAATGATGCTACCCACCAATGCTACATCAGCTACCACTCCCTCCAGGCCTTACACGGAATACCAAAGGGACAGCGGTGACTGGACGCTCAATGGCCCAGGCGCTATTTGGCTACTGATGCCCTAGTTACGGGGATTTACGCCACCCAGCCCGTGAAGAGTGGGGATAGGCCCAATCCCACGGATCATCGGAAACCACCAGCTCAAAAATATTATACTCCCGTGGCCTAGGTACAAATCCTAGCTAGTACTTCGCAGAGTACTCTACGTCAGCCCCGAGGGGGGCACTATCTATCTAAAGAGAGTCGTGCCTTCATTGAGGACTTTCTAACGGAAAGTGGCTCGTATACACGTTACATATGGGGGAAACCACAAAAACGCCCATGTAGCCAGCCCGAAATAAAAGAAGGAAAAAAACTAAATTCCAATTTATATTAAAACTTGAAAGTTAATTTTTTTACAAAATCTGTCTTGAAAATGATAAAAAAGTTTTAATTCTAAAATTTTTTTTTTACTTTTTTAGGCACGTTTTATTTTGGATCAAGGCTTAGGAGGTGCCATGGTATGGACGCTTGATAACGACGATTTCCGTGGTCTATGCACGGGTGAACAAAGTCCTCTTGTAAATACTTTACGTGATATTTTGCTTAATTCTAATCTTATAGAAGGTAGTTCTAGTCAGAGATCAGTAGCTAGGTCTGCTGGTCCACAGCCACGATCCGCTGTAGTCCGTTTTGATGATGATGGTGTTGAGGAAGAAGTTACTGAAGCACCAAGAAGGAGAAACACGCTTAGAAAACTTGTACAGAACCGGCAGTCAGCAAGAAATAGGTAAAATTTGCATTCTATTTACAACTTGAAAAATATTAATTACATAAATTATAGAAGCTCTCTGTCTTTGGTAGCATAAAATTATGAGCTCTAGAAATACTATAGGGGAATACTTCTATTGTCTTAACCTGTAGACAAGCTAGAAGAATGGTGTATAAGACTCTTTTATCCAAATACAAAGATCTTCACAGACGACCCCACTGGGCTTACATAAGCCAACAATTCTGCTTAATTTAAATAAATAACGCTTACTTAAACTAAAATCAAATGTAGTTTGATCAGCCTAACGGCTCACAGATAAAGCTTGCAGAAAGGAAGGAAGGCTCTGGTTTGCAGAAAACCGACGAGGTAAGCCTAATGGCAAGAAGAACTCAACGCCACAGAATCAAATCACAATTTGTCACGGTGACAACGTGGCTTCCAAGTAGGCAGAACACGCTCTAAAATCAACCTACGAAATCTTCGCTTAAATATTGTCCATCCCAACTAGTGCAGACTGCGGACAACCTCAACAGTGATCGCTCCATAAGTGAAGTTGGGGAGTCATAGGGTCTCCCCATTCGTCGACGCATTCCGGGCGCCGTAGTTCAGCAGGATAATACCCGTGCACATATTTCTCAAACTGCAGAAGCCAACCTTAGGGCACAACAGGTTGCGCCTCTTCCATGGCCTGCTTATTCCCCGGATATGTCGCCCACTGAGCATGTCTAGGATTTCATCGCTCGGCAACTGCCTCGCACAGCTGGTGGGGCACAAAGACTGAACTTTGGCTTGAAGTCGAAGTCTATATGGAATGCCAATGCCCAGGATTACATTTAGAAGCTGCATAATTCAATGCCACGACGTGTACAGGCTCTCATCGCTCAGCGTGGCGGACACACAAAAACCGATTTTCGACGTTCATTTTGTTATTTGTTATTTTGTCTTGTAAATTTGAGCGTTTATTTGTATTACAGTTATTATTTAAAATTTATTTTAGTTCTTATACATAATTTTAGATTGCTGCTGTAGGAAGGATTTACTTACTTCATAAATGGGACATTTAGTTACAGAAATTATAAGCATCTAGAAGCTAAGCTTTTATACTTTTGTAAATCATTGAAAATTAGTTTCGAATGTTATCGGGAAAAATTAATATAAATATAAAACTGAAGTTTATATATATAACTGCATTTTAAATGTGAACAAAATTCGTTCCAATATTTATTACTATAGAATTCATAGCTTATATATTGTGAGTATTTTAAATAACCATAACAATAAATATAATTGGTTCTTTTCCATTAATTAAATTATCAGCTTTGCCTAAAAGTACGTACTTTAACATCAGCCATTCATATTTACATATCATTACTATATAATGCATCGTGTATAATTTTTAAATCAATTTTTTAATTTAACAAAATTATTTTTGATAAATCCTTTCTTAAGATGTTTCACAATAGATTTTTTCAGATTAAACCAATTTTCTCAGATTAATTAATAATGACAATTATGTAAATTTAATACATTTAGTCTAAGTTTAATTACTAATTTAGCATTTTCATTTTTTCGTTTCAAAGCTGTTGTTATTTAGCTACGTATCTCTGCGAGAAACAGCGTAATGGAAAATTAGAAGCATATTTTTAGTTTAAATATGCTGTCTCATTTTTTTGTAGTTAAAAATTCAAATAATTAATTACCTGCTTTTCAAGCATTACACACACACACATTGTTTTACTCCAAAATTTCAAAACTTTTTTTCATCAACTTAACAATGAAACGTTCATTTTTAATGAGTTCTCAAAATTTGACTTTCCGGTACAAAAAGGTAATAAATGACAACTTTTAAATGGATGACTTTTACTTCTGAAACTATAATCCCTGACACATTTTGTAACCTGTTTTTATAGGAATATAGTCGCATGCATATAAAATGTTTTCGCAGGCATATTCTTTGCTCATATTTTTTCTTGCTTTTGTTTTTCGCATTTACGCCTATGAATGTAAAAGATTCATAGCGGTTTTCACAATAGTCTGTCCTCATTTCATAATAACGTAAAAGCAGTAAATTCTAGTGGACTGCTTTTGTTTATTCATATCAGTTTACTGCTGATGAACGATGACAAAGAGAATAATACTTTGTAGACCTTAAAAGGCAAGTATTTAAGTGTGTATGTTATGTCACTTTGGTATTAAACAGTAATTTTATTAAGCACCGATCACTGATCATAAGTTGCGAGAACATAAGACAGGGTTCAAAAAATGTAATGTTAGCCAACTGAATGCTATGTATATAAAAGATAAGGAATGAATACGTTTTGTCGCCCAGACGGTATAGTGGTCATGGGAGCTTACTGCGGGCCGGGTTCGAATCTCGGAGAAGACATGGATGTTTGTAAATGCTATAGTGTCGGAGCTACATGGGGGCACTCCAAATATGCGGCAGGCTGAAAGTTGCTCTCGTGTGGCTTCACTGAAGGGGAGAGGAGTAATTACCCTCAAAATTTTGGGGGTGGAAAATAAAAGTCCAACCCCTCTTTGGAGAAGGTTCTGGCAACCATTGTTCCATGTAATATGAACACGACAAAAACATCAACATGTTTTTTTGTCAGAACCAGTAAACGTCAGCGATATAAATTAATAAACAGAAAAAGTAAATAAATAAATAAAATTTGAAAGCTACTTTATTCATACTTTATATTACTCCCAAACATTCATACTTTATATTACTCCCAAACGGGTGTTTTTAAATTTACAGACATATGCAAGAGCATTCGGGCGAGTGCCATTTTGCACCGAAAATATTTAAAAACAGAAAACTTTAGAACTTTTCACGGGTAGACTCGCGAGCTAAAGATAAAAATGTTTTATTCCTCACAGCGTTGCCACTGCTCGCTTTAAAATTGTTGAGTTTTTTAATCAAAAATTCGTTAAAGTTTTACAAAATATGAAATGACAATAAAACAAATTCCAAATTCGGGCTTCAATGTTCCCAAGTTTGGGTAGAGGAGTAGGTTATTCAAAATTTGATGACTCTAAGTGTTGTTTTTTCATAGTGCGAGAAACATACATACATTCATGCAGATTCTTCATTATTTAATTTCTTTAAATATAATACAGGACGACAATTTTTGGTGGCAACAATCTGAAAAATGATGATTTAAATGAGTCAACGCAAAATGCCGTTACGAGACTAATAGCCCTTTTGGGCAACGACGCTAAAACTTTAAAATATCATCTAAAATTTTATTCCTAATTTGCATCTCACCCAAAAGGAGCATAAATATCTCCTTCAGAAGCTATTACCACCATTTCTCTTTTTCATATTACCTAGTTTTTTTTTTTTTTTTTTTTTTTTTTTTTTTTTTTTTTTTTTTTTTTTTTTTTTTTTTTAACTCAGGCTTCAGAAGTGTTACTACTGTGGAGTTTAAAAAGCTTCTTAAGGACCTCATCATGAGTTTACGGGCCAAAAAAATAAAGAACAGTAAAGATAAGAACAAAGGAATAATTCTTTCAATGAAAGATGTACTGTCATGACTGCTGAAAAGAATGTTTTCAACACTTGCGTTAGCAGACAGCGGCAAATAACAATTCCTACAATCGTGATTTGCGTATCTGCATAAAACGCTATTTACGTCTGATATACGATGTTCTATTTCGAATGTAAAAAAGGTAATAAGCCTATTTTGAACTCTTTGAACTCAAAAAAAAAAAAAAAAAAAAAGGAGGGGTCATTGCACAACAGCTGATCTCCCCTTGTTTTGAGAAAACTACAACTTCTGCGTGCATATTTTTTTTTCTCCTCAGAAGTAACGTATTACTCCTATTTACATTTATAGGAAAATATAACTAAAATTTAGTTTTCAGTGCTGCCTTAATAATTTAGCAAACATGATATTTAAACTCTTGACTTTTACTTTTCAGACTAAATTCTGGTCGACGTGTTAACACCAATGCTGATGACAATGATGTTGTTCTTCCTCCAACCACTCCGGCTCCACCTCCAACTCCAGATCCAGGTGTGGCTTTCGAATGTCAAGATGAAGGATTTTTCAACAATCCTCGAGACTGTAGGAAATATTTCTGGTGTTTAGATAGCGGACCAGCGAACTTAGGTGTCGTGGCTCATGCTTTTACCTGCCCATCAGGTAAAGTTCACTTTACCTTTTTCTCAAAAAAGGAACAATTTCGCTTGTTTTTGCCTATTTTAATTTATAATATTGTTATGAATTTTGTATATAGATCCATGATTTTAGTGTAATTATATGTGAAATTATTGTATTTTTCTGCATAATGTAACATGAAGGAACATAACTGCATAATGAACCTAGAGACGATGCTCTGCCGGAAAAGTAAGAATACAGGGGTAAGTCTTTTTAGCGTTGAATAAATGGTTATCTCGCTAATTTCGCGAGATATCACCAAGTTGGTAACGGTTTTGGCGACTAAATGTTGTCGTGAAATTTGGCAAGAAATCGCACAAAGTCTCCAAATTTGGTGACATTTTGGGCTAGGGGCCCTCAGATGCCTTCCAGTAAGGTTGAGAAGTACACTAGCGTCTACATCCCAAAACGGCAGCCAATGAGAGAGGCGATTCTATTATTTTCATCGGGGTGTAGGGGAGTTAGAATGGTTTTCTGATGAATGCAACGGCAGTGGGCTATATGGTCGCTTACATTTGGAAGTTCAAAAAATTGCTAAGGTGGATTGCTCTAGTTTCTACAGTTACTTAAAGGGAAATAATAGGCAGTTTTTTCGGTTTCTTGACAGAGGGCAAATAGACAATTTACCTTTATAATCTGCGTTTATATATTTAAACTTCAGAAGATTTAAGATGAAGCGAATATATTTAACACAATGAAACACAATCTTAAGACTTGTAAATCTTTTAAAAGACAACAGCAAATTTTTAAACATTACCATTACTTTAAAAAATATCTTCTCTTCTAATTATAATAAATAATGAGATAACGCATGAATGAATTGTTAATTATATGATAACTATGCATTTATAAAAGTTTTTAATAATGAACTATAAATAATATTTTTAATTATCGATGTATTGTTTTTTAAAAGATTTACAAGTCTGCTTGCGTTCTGTTGTGTTAAATATATTCACTTCATATTAAATCTTCTGAAGTTTAAACAGATAAAAGTTGATTTATAAAGGTAAATTATCTATTTGCCCTCTATCAGCAAACCAAAAAAAAAAACTACTTAATATTTTCCTGAAAGTAACCGCAGAAACTAAGGCAATCCACCTTTGCAATTTTCTGAACTTCCCAATGTAAGCAAATATCGTGCACTGCCGTTGGCGTTCTTCAGAAAACCATTCTAACTTCCCTACTCCCCGATGAAAATAATAGAATCGCCTCTCTCATAGGCTGCCGTTTTGGGATGTAGACGCTAGTTGAGAAGTACTAGCCATTTCTCTTCGGCCGGGTGAAAACTGTAAAAGGTGGGATAGAGCATTTTCTCTCGGTTGTTGTTAGTTGTTAGTTCAGCGTGAGTTTGGAATTGTACTGAGATACAGCCGGGCTAACTTCGCTCTTTAGATGACCTTTGCATTGCGTTCTGTTAAACATTCCTGGTAGTTTGAAGTACAACTACTGATTGTACCCTGTGATACTGTAAAGAGCTATACACCTTTTTGGGGGTGCAAATTTCCAGAACTGTAAAGGTTTACTTTTGGTAAAATAAATTTTATCAAGCCAACATCAATTTTGCGTAATTCAATCTATTAGGTACCTGTACGCACTCAACAATTTTATTATAATAATATAAAAAACTGAAAGCTTTCAGATTTTATATTAAGCCCAAAGGTTTTTGGGCACATGCTGGGTGGAGGACTGCGTTATGCAAACTTTGATGGCCCTAAGTGCCGTTGTTCCTTTACAGTGCGAGAAACATACATACATTCATTCTTCATTATTTAAGTTCTTTAAAAGTAAAACAGGGTGATAATATTTCGTGGCAATAATTTGAAATTTGATACGCCACAAAATCCCGTTTCGAGACTAATAGCCCATTCGGGCTAACCCTCTTTAGGGCTTATAATCAAATAGACACAGATATTTACATGAATTTGAAAAAGTATACAGTATAAATTGTTTTCTTTTATCTAGCTTTCTGTCATCTTTTCAAAAGCGTTATTTTTAACACCTGTTAACCAAACTAATGTTAAATTTTCAATATACTGCTCATAATGATACAGAAGAAAAGGACTTGCTGTGCGTAATCATGTATAAAAGCTAGAGAGCTGCTTTGATAACTTTCGCTAACTTTGGCTACATATAATAAGAAATGAGATCTCCGCAAATATTCGAACTGATAAAAGCAGTATTTAGCTTCAACACAATAGCTTAAAATCCGCTGTACTCTACATATCTGGAAATTAAGTAAGTCTCACTGGAAGACCTTTGAATTCGTAAGAAGCTCAAATTTTTTAATAGGAAAAAATTTATAAAGAAGGAAAGTTTTCAATAAATAAATTTTTGTTATCCTTAAATTTACGATTTTAATACGAAATTTATCAAAATTGGAGAAATGAATGTATTTCTTTCCCAAATTCCTTCAGCTCGCCAGTTTTCATCCCGTTTTCCTTTCCGTATTTTATTGGGAGTAAAACGTAGCATAAGGAAACCAGATTATAATAAATACTTTTTAAATTCAGATCTAAATCTTGTATGAAAGAATTAATGAAGAGAAATTAGATTCTTAATCGATTGGATTGTTTAGTTATGTTTGGATTGTTTAGTTATGTCTGGATTGGATTGTTTAGTTATGTTTGTTATTGATTGGATTGTTTAGTTATGTCATTCAGTTATGGCAAAGCACTCACGTAGTCTGCCTAGAGAAGGGGGGAAGCTTTCATGCGGACTTTCTAAGAGATTTTTAATAGAATAGTTATAAATATTAAGGGAAAAAAATTACATTTATTCGAAGGAATTAGATTTGAAATTAAGTTTAAGGGAATTTCCCTTTAATGGCTCAAGTTTCATACAGGCTTGATTGAAAATTTATTTATCTTTCGGATAAGCAAGCTTTTGGTCAAGCAAATCTGAAAGTTCTTCGAATATAAACAAAACATTATCAACTCTATTTTTGAAAGTATTTTCTATTGCTATTTGATTATTTTATTCAGTTTCGCGTAATTCTAAACATTTAATCTGCATGCATCTTTTTTAATTCTTCTCGCATTCAGATGTAAATTTGTACATTACTTTGCATTCAGTTCTATATTTAATATTTCAGGGTTGCATTTCAATTCTGGATCGGAATCTTGTGACTATCCTGAAAATGTAGTATGCCCCGTAGGATCCACGGGATCTAGTCCGCCTAAGCCCACTCCTAGAACTGCACGCCCACGACCTAGGACAACTCCCATCACCACCACTACTACCACTACGACAACAACAACAACAACTGAAGCTCCGACGACAATGATAACTGAAAAACCTGGTAAGTGCATCGAAAAAACAAAAAGTGCCGATTTTGCTGTTTTAACAATATTGGTATCTAGATTTTAAATATTTAGAGAAGGATTTAGCTTTACGTGCATACCATCTCAAATACTTAACCTAATATTTTAATTTTTTTTAAGTAAATTGTTGCCAATTGCACATGAGCCGAATTTTTTATATTTGACACATTTTGACATAAATTTAGTTATATATTAAACATATGAATAACATACTGAAAGTTTAATATTGTCAGAATTTAAAAAAATGAGCGAAACTCTGGGAATTATTAATATTTGCATACTATTAGAGCATTTTTAGTGTGCATACTGTTTCAGTGTGCATTACCGAAACACACTGAAAACGTCTCATCTTAATTATTGCATCTCATAACGTTTTGCATGGTTATTTGGATAGTATTTGCTTGATAGAAAATGCATTCTTGCCATCTCTTTTGGAAGTACGTTACAGAATATTTAATGATAAATAAAAGTTTACTGTTCTAACTGTTTGAACCCTAGCATTATTACGAAGCGATTAACGATACGAATGCGAAGTTCGAAAGGCGAATATAACACTTGACGATTCTTGTACGAATGCTATTTTTGTTTCAACGAGTTTGCATCAGTGGTAATTTTGATCTTGATTTGGTATGCAAAAATACATGACGAAATCTTTCATTTATATTTTATGAAAACACAACAGTAATACAGACACATCGCAAGGGCGAGCCAACAGTTACATAATGTAAACACAGAAGAATTCTTTCGGCGCAACAGCGCCCTCTATACTATGAAAAGTTCTAACAAGCATCGTTGCAAACCTGCTTGATAATGGCAGAGAATGAGTCGAAAGAGCTGAAGACACGTATACTCTTAATTTTTGTTCCAGAAAATCGCTTCGTATACTTCCGTAAAACAACTTTGGAATAAAAGCTTTTCTGATAATTACGTCTTTCTACTATATGAGGGCTCACATGCATATTTTATGTAGTTATCCCTATAAACCAATTGTTTTTTTTTTTTTTTTTTTTTTTTTTTTTTTTTAGTTAACTATTGTTTCCTTAAATGAAACGAGTAAGTTAATAGAGAAAAAATATGCTATCAGAAAATTATTTACATTTAAATTTTCAAATGTTCAGGAGCCTATAAAGAAGGCAAGACATATTTCATTTAAAAGTAGATGAAATTTCACATTAATCTGTACCAGATATGCTGTAGATCAGATTAGATTTGTCGATTTAAGAGTTTTTACATTAAATATGTATGAGATTTTAAATTTATAATTTTCATAATTGAACCAAAATTCTGAGATTGTATACAGCAATGTATATATTACATTAAAATGTTTTTGACGTTTTTCTACTTAATCCTTGAGCAGTTAATGAAGATATATATATATGTGAATTGTTCATTTTTAGGTAACTTACTTTATATGGTTGTAATTATAATTATTATTTGCAATTTTTGAATCTAAATTTTATACATTTCCAATACTATTATCCAGTGTTTGTAGAGGAATTTTCTATCTGTTGATTTTACTATTTCAAGTAATTTCAAATTTCAATAATTTTCAAATACTTTTTGAAATTTTTTTCAACTTGAAAATTTTCTTCTTCCTTTAAATATTATGATTTAGTAAATTGGAATTTATGTAGACTTCAAATTGTAATTCTTAGTTTCATTTTATTTTGTAATACTGAAATATTAATAGTATTCTCCCTTTCATTTTGATTATATATATGTTAATTAGTAATATCGATTATCTCTTTGAAAATAAAGAGTAAAAACTCTTGTAACTTAGATACTTATTAAAAATTAATTCCCTAGGAAAATGGGTTTGAATTATGGAAATAAAACTTAGTTAAAATGTATTTGAATTATAAAAAATTGTAAGCATAAAATTAAATTAATTATTGTTTATTCCATGGAAAAAGACTGACTTTTAAAGGGAATTAGTTCTTTTCAATAAAATCAACAATAATTAGGAAATCTCATCGCATTTTATCTTTTTCGTAAATTTGAATGAAATCCTATTCAAAAATTCAGTTAAAAATTTCTAAGAAATATTTCAATACTGAAAAAGAGCGAAATCATAATTTTAAAAAATCTAGCCTTAATTTTTAATTCCTTTTTCGTTGAAAGGACAAGAACAAAACACAAAAATAAGAAAAAAATAAGAACATTGCAGTCAAAATATATCTACTGTAGGTAATTAAAAAAAAGTGAAATTGAGAGCAAGAATAAAATACAAAAAATAAGAACATTTTGCAGACAAAGTTATAATTTGCCTTCAGAATGTTCTCATTTTTTATTTTTATACTTTAACTTTGTAACTGTTATTTGAAAAGAATATAAATTTAAAATTAAGAATTAAATTTTTAATGATAATTTGGTTATTATCTTTTACCATCGTGTCTGCCGTTTAAATAGAGCTTTTTTTAACATTTAAAATTATTGTTATCACAGTTACATTCTTGAACTGCTTTGGTGTAAAAATATAGGGAAGACATGAAAATCGTAGTTCGAATGATGACAAAGACGGCGGCTTCAATGAAACTTTTGTAGCTGATATACATTAGGGTTTCTCCTTCATATCCATGTTAATCTAATACTTATATTAATAACATGCTGAAATATAAATGCTAAGAAACTGTGTGATGAAACTTCTGACAAAAATTTAATGAAAATGATCTGCATTGAGGTTTGTAATAAAATAAATAATTATATAATAATCAGATTCTTCTCAGCAAAAGTTACTTAATGAAAAAAATCAAGTTAACAATTTAATAATAGCCAGGAATAATCTGTAAATGATAGTTTCTTGTTGTAAATTAGAAATTTTAAAATATTGCTTCGTGTTAACCCAAATTTCCTTATGTCTTCCCAAATGTCAAATTAATATAGAAGATAACCTTAGTTTTCTCTCTTCTGTCGCAGTTGAGGAGAATGATGTTCCTTCACAAGCTACTCCAGATGCAGCAGAAAATGTTGCGGAATTGCTCCGTCTTTTGCAAGCCATTGGTGGAGTGGAAAAACTACAAAGCCTTCTCGGAGCACAAGAACAAGCCTCAAGCATTAGAAGCCAAGATACAGCGCCTCTTACACTTCCGCAGTATGTCACTCCCAGAAGGTAATAAAAATAAGAAGTTATAAATTGTAGATGATGTTATCTTTTTTTATTATTATTTATACCACAAAATCGAAATCAATTATTTTGTTGAAAACATGAAAATAAATTATAATTATCTGAAAGTCTTTGAATCAAAATCAGCCTAAAGAATTAGAATCTAAACTTTCGAATATTTGCAGCTTTTCTTTCATCAATAGAATGTTAATTTCCAAAGATTGCCGTATTTCATATATTATTTCTTCGTGCTAGATTGACTTGCGCGTGTCTAAACAATAAAGTAGTTCCACTGAAATACTAGTACACTATTAAAAAAAACCCAATAATTAACAGAAATACTGCATTTTAATATCTTGTAAATTTAATGAAAAAAAACAAGAATTCGTGTTTTATAAGGTCTACTTTTAAACGCTGTGCAAATTAAGCTTCAAAACGTTATAAGGTATTTCTCCCGCTTTCCTGGTTTTGCATGCTAAGCCGGTGTTCCAGAAGTCCGTGGTTCAATTCCTGGTGAATGCCACTGTAGAGACATTAGGATATTTTTGGAGGCCGGAGAGATGAAAAATTAGCAACCGCCTTCGCCGGGAATCGAACCATCGACCTCTGGAATACCGGCCCAGCGTGCAGAACCACTACGCCACGTAGGCACGCTAGGAAGGCGGGAGAAATACATTATAACGCAACTTGAAAGGTTTATGAAATGAGATCTAAAAAATATTGAGTTAAAAATATGAAGAAATATATTATGTAGCGATAAAAACTACTGAATGAACTTAAATTTAAATATGCCTCTTAATGAAATGGGACATTGACTTAACTGATTAAGGCTGGAAGAAATTTCAGATTCTGAATAATTATTTTAAAGATTCATTTATACAAAAAATATTTTAGTTTTCCACTTGAATACATTTTCAGAACAAATAAAATTATTTATATTTTTTGGGAACGGCAATAAAACATCAACGCAAGGAATGTTTTCATATGCTTTGTTTATTTAATTTGTTGAGATAAATGAACACAGAATAATAGTCATCAATAACTTTTTTCTTCTTTAAATTTGAAAAATATGGGCTGAGAAAAGAAAACTTTTCATTCAAACTGTATTTTATGGATTTATTGATTTACTAACATTTACTAACATTAGTAAATTAACTATATTTTTATCAAACATGAAATTCATTGATTGGTTGAACTAAGCTATTTAAATTTAGCAAAGTATGGGCGAGTTATCTACCTGAATTCAATCCCAGTTTTAACCAAGAGTACACTGTTGAACATAATCGGAGAGTGTTGTACAACTTTTCCCCTGCCATTAAACTTTTAGGGAGTTTTTGATTTATTTATTTGCAAATTGCAAATGTTCCATGCCTTAATCGGGTTTTGAGCCCCCACTCGAAAGCGCAAAAATCAAACACCATATTAAATCGTTACGAAGCGGCAAAGTGTTCCATCATTCTTTTAGTCAAGTGTTATTATGTGAGAATCATTATACACCACCTCACACATCATTACACTACCTCACAAATATTACTCAAAACGTTCTTTGTATTTCGTGATTTGCTTCAAACTGGAAGCTGATTGACCAAGTGGCAGGTTTATTACAGGAATACGTTTGAAATTAGAAAAGATGCGAAAGAAAATACATTTACGTTATATATTTTTGTTATATTGGCGTTCAAGTAAATGATATCAGATTTAAATAATAATGACATTTATAATCAGAAATACACTGGAAGAGCAGCACTAAAATCTAACGGAAGTATTCAGCAGAACACAGAATATTGTACATCCAGTCACGTATAAATGGAAAGCAAACGTTTATATGTGACGTTTTTTTCACAGACTCTAGCCCCGCAGTTATTGATTTTTTTAATTTCGATCATTTAGTACTTTCCTTCAAAGGACCACTGCTATTGAACTTACCTGCTTTGAGTTTCAATCGTACTCATGCGAAGATAAAGATATTAGAAAATTTACCTAAATAAGGGAAATTTCCTTTAGTAAGATATAGTGATCCCATAAATATTTTGCTGTGAATGCATTTTCAGCTTATCTGTCTTATTTGTCCTTGCATTAAAGAAGTTTTAAATGATCTGTTATTTTCAACAATTTAAATATTGTTTCAGAAGTTTCAGTATACACTGATGTGCAAAAATTAAGGACGAGACGGTTTTTTAAATATAACTTTGTACAAGAGCTTTCCAAATCAACACATTTAATACCGTAAGATCCCCAATACGTAAGGACATGAGTAATGTAAGCAATACTTACTAAAAGAGAAATCAGAGGGATAAAAAGAAGCTTTATTGAAAAAGTAGCATGGAGCGCAATGCGACTGAAGTCCGAAACATCCCTGTGATGGGTTTCCAGCAAGAAACATCCGGTCTTTAATAGGGGATATGATCTCCCCTGACTGCTAGGCAGGTTCCACAGCGTCTGCCCATGCTGAGAATGAGGGTGTCAATGAGTTGTTGAGGCATTGCTGCCCATTCGTCTTGCAGCGCCAATCGAAGCTCCGAAATCGTTACTGGTGGTAAGGTACGAGCTGCCAAGCGTCTGCCTAGAAAATCGCATACATGCTCGATGGGATTGAGATCCGGAGATCGTGCCGGCCAATCCATACATTCAATATCCTCACTCTCTAAGTGCTGTTCGGCAGCTACTGTGCGATGACATGGTGCATTGTCGTCCATGAAAAGAAACTGCGGACCCATAGCGCCTCTAAAAAGACGCACATATGGAAGAAGAATCTCGTTACAATAACGGGTCCCGTTGACTGAACCTGCGTCGAAGATGTGAAGGTCTGTACGACTACCAAGCATGATGCCTCCCCAAACGAGAACACCGCCACCTCCATACCTGTCCCTTTCAATGATGTTCGAGGGATGATTGCGGCTTCCCCGCTCTCTCCAGATGAGTATGTGATGAGAATCGCTACTGAGACTGAATCTGCTCAAATCTGTAAAGAGTACTCGTCCCCATTCATTGTCTCTCCAATTCCGGTGTTCCCGGCACCACAGAGAACGCCTTCTCCGATGGGCAGGCGTTAGAGGTACACACCGTACAGGGCGTCGTGCAAACAGACCACCACCGTGCAGTCTTCTGGCCACGGTAAAACGCGATATCGGTTGCCCAGTCGCCTGTGTCGAGTCTCTAGCGATTTCTCCTGCTGTCTGCCGCCTGTTTCTTCTGGCCTGTAAGGCAATATACCGGTCATCTGCGGGTGTGGTTCCTCGTAGACGACCACTACTAAACCCCCGGATAGCTGTTCCTGTAGTTTTAAATTGTCTCCAAAGTCGTGAAACGATGCTGTGAGCAATTCTGAACTCTGCAGCCACACTTGTCACACTACGGCCTTCCTCCAACTTCCCAATGATTCGACCTCGGGTAAAAGCATCTAGATGTCGTCTAACAGATTGATTATTCACCATTTTCTCGCTGAGGCAGCAACTCGGTGTGATTTTAGCTGCTATACGGCGTGCAATCTCTTTGCCAGAAATACTGATCTTACACCGACAACATGCTTTATACTAATCAGACACTCCCCCATTACGTCTACTTGCATATCTGCGCATGTGCTACCGTACATTACCTTACTTAATCTCCTGATTCGTCTTTCTGTCCGCTCTGCCTCTTCGTTCAGCTGATATGCTAATTTTTCGACTTCGTCCTTAATTTTTGCATACCAGTGTATATTAATCTTGAAATTTATGAACATTGTATTAATATTTCTAAGGATGTAGAATATTAAAATACATTGCTCTATGTTATAATTTTGTATTGAATCAATAATATCAGATAAAAGCAAATGAAGCTGAACAATTGGATTTAGGCGTTCACTCGCATTAGTACCATTTTTTAACCCAAAATGCCGAATGGACTATTAATCTCTCAACGAGATTTTACGTTGTTCCCTATAAACAGCTGTATCACTTTTCAAATTGTTCCCACCAAATGTTATCGCCCTGTATTACTTTTAGAGAAATTAAATAATTCAGAAACTGCCTGTATGTATATTCCTCACACTGTGAACAAACGGCAGTACCTAGAGTCATCAAATTCTGAATAACATAGTCCCCCACCCGAACATGTGGAATTAATTCTCAATTTCGAATCCTGTATATTCTAGATGCAGCATAAAATGTTAAAAAGCGACGGAAAAGCGAAAAGGTTTCAGCGAAAAAGCGAAGAAAACGGTACTGGGAGAGATATATTGCAACGATATTGTTGCGTTAAAGATAAAAAATTTTAAAAAGCTATGAAGTAATTTCCTAAAACGCTGAAGGTAACAACGGATGGAAATTGGGATCATTAAACTAGAACTGAAAGATTTTTATGAGTGTAAAACGTCTATACGAAACCTAATTCACCAACGGAAGATGTTTTTTGAATGATTATGGAATGAATAAATGTGGTTTTTTCTAGCCTTTTTCAACTGTGTTTGGCAGCAGAGGAATATTTATTTGTTTATTTTTTCTCAGCATTTATCTGTTTTGTAAAACTTTAATAATTTTTATTAATAAACTGAACAGTCTGAAAACGAGCAGTGGCAATACTGTATGGAATAAAACATTTTTATCTGCAGCGCACGAGACTGTATATTGGAAATTCTAAAGGTATTCTGTTTTTAAATATTTTGCGGTTTTTCTGTTGAATTGAATTTAATGTAACGTAAATGTAAAGAGCTTGATATTTAATTATTAAATTTAACGCACCAAACGTTAATAATAAAAAAACAAAAGGAAGAAGTTGTGCAAACAGTCTTACTAAGAAAAACTGAACATTGATATTATGAAATGTGAAAAGACGGACAAAAATAAAAAGAATTATGCCCAATGCAGTGTTAAGAAACACTGCATCGAGAATTCTAAACATATGCTGCTGGGTTGCTTTTAAAAGTTTTGTAATTTTGCTGTTGAATTGTATATGGCGCAAATGTGAATAAAATAATGCTTAATAATAAAGCTAAAAAGGAGAAAAAGACATGGGTTTAGCAGGACTGAGTGCAGCAGCATGCTGTTAGACTGCAAGCTTAGTGAGAGCTTATTAAAAAACTTTAACAAACCCTTTCGGGCGACAATTAAAATGTGAACACTTTCAGATTTGTCTTTTAACGTGTATTCTTAACAAATAGAAAGATGCTATTTATTATGAACGCTCAAAATGATCATATAAAAATTAGATTTCAAAGTGCTAACTTAATGCAAAAATAATAAGTTTGTACATATTTTCACTCATTAATTTTATGCTATGTTCTAATTCAGGAGAACTACAGAAGAACCGGAAGTCTATCACAGACCTTCAACATTACCAGAAAACATACCACCAAAACGACAACCACAGTATGATCCAGAACCAAGCGCTTATGACGTTCAAAGACCAAACAAAGATCCCTATATTAATATTAAAGATGATGAACCCGAGGAAGATGAAGATGAAGGTGAAGAAGGTTTCCCATTTCAATACAATACGCCTCCCAGAGGGGCTAATGTTCAACCTGAGGTAAATTTTAATTTCAGTAGTGAAGTTATAAAAAATTAATGGAAATATAATACTATTGCTAATAATGCAAATATGTCACCAGTTTTATAGATAAATTTATTGAAGATATTTTTCGACTATAAAATATGTGATGCAATAGTTGTGAAATATAAATTATAGTACAATTTAGTAAGTACACCGCGCAAAAAAAAGGGGGGACAGTTCTTTATCTCCCGTTCTACTGGCCCGATTGACGAAATTCAAATTACGTTTTTTGTGTCTCGAAAGCGCGACTTAGGATATATATTAGATTTATATATAGCATTGTTCTAACGTAGGTATTTTGACACAAAACTATACATTTTTTGATAACTTCCTTTTTCTTTCCATATTTCGATTCTACGATTCATATTATGCCTAAATATTAAATTTTGTAACTTTAGGTGAGAAAATAAAAAATTTATATTGGCGCATTTTTATCAGTTTGAGCCAAGAATAATTCACTTGTCGAATTTCTTAATTTATATTAAACCTATTTTTCTTTCCTATTTTCATTGTACACGAACGGGAAAAAAAGTCATCGTTCGTACTTTCAAATAATTTTAACAAAATGCGTAAACCACATTTGTCTTTATTATCGCTTATATCATATGTGCCAGCTTTCAAAACGCCCCAATATGTAAATTCAAGAATATCTTAGAAAATTTTTAATAAAAACCTCTATTTTTTTGCAGGTGTGCCTAGAAATACATCTACTTTAAGATGATGTTAAAAATGTTATAGGTTATAAGACAAAAAGTTTTCGAAAAATTTATAAAAAATACGCAAGTTGAATTTCGTCAGTCGACCCAGTAGAACTGTTCCTTTTCTTTTTTCGTAGTGTACATAGGTTGTAGAATATTTTCTAGGCTACATGCCAAGAAAGTTAGTTTTAATCTCTATTTCTGTAACTGCATTATTTCCTCGTATTTTCAGTAATTTAGAGTACTTGGAATTATTAAATTATGATTGAGCTTTAAAATTTAATTATTCAAAGTTAACAAAATTGTTAATTGTTACTGATAAGGTAGGACTGTATTTTCTGCTTTAGATTATGCAGCATTTAGCAATATTTTGAAGCGAAGGAAACGGTACTGGAAAAGATATAACGTTGCGTTAAACATAAAAATAAAAGCAGCTATGAAATATTTTCATAAAAAGCTGATGGTAACAACGGATGGGAACTGGGATCATTAACTAGAATTGAAAGATATTTATGAGTGTGATACAAACAACTATACAAAAACCTAATTTACCAAAGGAAGATGTTTTCTGAATAATTATGGCTGTAGAAAATTGGAAGAAGTGATTTTTCTGGCCTTTTTCATCTGTGTTTGACAGCAGAGGAAGATTTTTTTTTTTTCTCAGCATATGCCTCGTATTCCTTAGCTCGAAGCTTCTTTTTGTCATTTGCATTTCTGGAGCTGATAAAGAAGGGTCTATATATAAACCTTCAAAATTAGTCTTTACATTTTAATGAATTTATGAATATTACGCTGACTGTTGTTGCTTTAACTCCCCCAATAAAAAAAATCTGAAAGGTTTCAGATTTTAAATTACGTTCAAATAGGCGTTTTTTTAACGTTTTGTGTGTTACTTTATTTATTAAATACCATGTTCTTTGCACTTAAACCATAAAATTCAGTTCAATAGCAAAATAATTTTAAAATAAGCGTATCTTTAGAATGTCCGGTAGACAGTTCCGCGCGCTGGAGATAAAAAGGTCCCCCCCCCGTAGAGTGTTGCCATTGCTCGCTTTGAAATCCTTGAGTTTGTTAATCAAAAATTCGTTAAAGTTTTACAAAATATGAAACAGATCATAAACGAAATTCCAAATTTGGTCTTCCACATGCCCATATTCGTAGGAGGATTACGTCATTCAAAATTCGATGGCTCTATGTTCCGTTGTTTTATCATAATGCGATAAACATGCATACATTTATGCAGATTTTTCGTTATTTAATTTCTTCAAATATAATGCAGGGCTCTAACATTTAGTGGCAACAGTTTGAAAAGTGAAACGGATATTTATAGAGATTCAAAGCAAAATCCCAAAACGAAAACAATAGTCCTTCAGGGACAAAGCCCCTGTGGACTAATAATCATTATTCGACTTGTTATATTAACTCAGGTTTGTAGAATCAAGTTGATATGAAAGAAAAGTCAGATTAAAAAATGAGAAAGCTGTGAAATATTAATGTTGGTTGCGGTGTAACAAGAATCTGCTTCTGATCAGAGAAATCCAAGCTTCTTTGCATAGGGCCCTTTATTGAAATAGTGACATCACACAGAATGGTCGAATGATTTGATTGCGTAACAACACGAAAATGCTTTCTTGGGTTTTTCATTTCATGTATTTATATAATAGTTATCCTAATTCAAATATTTCACATTTCGCAGATATAGCATATTCAAATATTTCACATTTCACAGATATAGCATGACTTTCCACAAACATTTTTTGAACAGAAAAATATCCTTCATATGAAGCTGAATTGTTATCAATGCGCAAATGTAATTTGAAACAGACAAAAACAGAAAGCTTTTTCAGTTTTCCTAAACTCATTTTAAATATTGATTTTGGATAAAATTAATTTATCGTGTCTTGTAATTAAGTAACTTTTCAAGTAGTACTTCAATTTATAAAACGTTATCTTAACATTTAAATACGTTTTTGAAAGTAATTAATAATTTCTACACTATGCGTTTGAATACTTTATTAAGATTCATCTAACACTTTTTCAATATAGTTGTAATATTCTAGGTGAAATAAAGTTTATATAGAAAATAAAGAAAGAAATAAATAAAGTTTAATAAAGAAAACTACTAGAACCTAGAAGAACTATGTAGCGACTATTCTCTAAGTTCTCGTTTCGTAAGTAACAGCTCCAAAGTGTAAGAGAGTATTTATTGTAACTCAATTAGATTTACAGAGGTCGCTCTTTGTTGTACAGGAAGCCAACATTTGGGGATTGAACTTGAAATAGAAAATGTAAAATTAAACTACGACTAAATGGAACTAAACAGCCAAAGCTGCACAGAATTGTTACCGCGTAGTTGGTTCCTAGTTAAAAACTACCGCCTTAGACTAACCTGCACTTAATAAGAATGGCTGTAAACTAGCAAGCTTTAAGTCGCACAACAACGTGGAGGAAAAACAAAACATGTTCTCTCTCTCTAGCTCTCTAACTGTTGTACCTCAGCTTAAATAGTAGTTTCTCCTCTATTTTGCATACAGCGTGAAACTGAAAACTCATTCTGGTAGGAAAGCGTAGATAGGAAAATGAAGATGTGAAGGAAAGCTGTCTTAAAAATAAAATAAAAGTAACTAATGTTAATAAATAAAGTAAAACCCTACACAGTATCTTATAATGTTATCACTTGCTTATGGACAAATATTTTGAGTTCATATTTTTTTCTCAGATAGTAAACAATTTATTGATTTTTGAAATTTTATAACTGATTTTGAGTTCTCTTTCCAGGTAGTGTACATGAATGAAGATGATGTTGCTTACAAAGCACCGGAGGTGCCACCGCCTTATGAAGCCCCTCTCAGGCCAGCAGTGCCAGTTACGACGACGACAACAACCACAGTGGCACCTCAGAAAGGTCCGTATCGAACTCCCATCAGGGTTCAAGTAGGTCGAGTTGTTCGTGTACAGAATGGTACACCAGCTAATCCAGGTAAAATATACGTTTGTTGACATTATTAAGCAATTATTACTAGCTAACTCCTTTTAAAGGAAGTAATCATTGTTCACAAAATATAGTTCCGCCTTCTGAAATTAACCAATTTAGACCACTTCTGGCACAAGTTGTAATTGCATTATCGTCCATGAAGTATCCGTCGCCATCAGGGTAAAAATGCAGCATTGCAGGGTGCACTTGATCTACCAGTATATCTAGGTATCTTGTGGCTGTTTGTTTACCCTCGAGGAACACCAGGGCACATCTTCCATGCCAGCATAACATGCTCCATATCGTGATACTCTCACCAGACTATTGCACAGTGGCGAGTAAGGCATGATGGCTTCATGGACTTCTGACCAAATTCGACGTCGTCCATCAGGGCAAAATAAGGTGTAGTGTGATTTATCCGACCACATTACCCGTTTCCAATACTTAGATACCCAGTGTCTTCTTTCCCGGCACCACTGCAAACGAATTCTTGCATGTCGGGCAGAAATGAGTGGTTTTTCTCACAGGCACGCTACTATGCATTCCTATCCCCTGCAATTCTGTGCGCATGGTTAGAGCTGAAATCTATCGAGAAGATCCTTGGTTGACTACCTGTGTCAGCTGAAGAGTCCCTCTTCTGCCGTACAATTGTCGGAGACGCCGCCGATCCCTCTCCTAGAAAACTGTGCTCGAACCGCAGTTACGTCTTCTAGAAAAGGACTGTGGGTTCTGATTCCAACTTTTGAAAACCTTTGATATGGCTGCTTTTGAGATCTGCTGTTTCCAAAATCGAGGCCCCTGTTAAATGGGCCTCGATAATAACTAGCCCATTTCTAAAGATTTTCTTTTTAAGATTAATAAGCCCTTTCCTAAATGGTGAAAGATCTATCGTTTTTCCCATTTTACTTCATTCATCGTGAAAAGCACTCTTACACCTTACGTATACTAGCATTCTAACTACGTGTAGGCCACGTTATAAAACAATTTGCATACTTCATCCCTAGCACGCATTCAAATGGAAATCTCAAAGGTTTCAATTCGTTGGCCAGTGTGGGTACTTTGAAATAATTTTAATAAAGTGCATAAAGCACGTTTGTCGTTATTATCGCTTGTAACAAGTATTCCAAATTTCAAAAGGTACCAGAATTTAAATTCCCATACGTTTTTGAATAAAAAATTCTAATTTTTTGCAGGTATGCTTAGAAATACATTTACTTTAAGACATTTAAAGAAATTAAATATTTTATTTTAAATTTTTTTTTAAATTTTATTATTTTTTAATTAAATACATCTGCTTTAAGGCATTTTAAATAAAACTTTGATACGTTGTAATTCAGAATCGTATTCGGAAACTTTATAAAAATTATTAAAAAATATTAATTTTAAAAACAAATCAGAAAATAATTCTGAATTTCATATGGATTGAACCTAAATTTCGAATTTTGAAAAAAAGGAAATGTAACTTTAATAAGAAAAGAGCTATTAACAAACATATACCAAATTCAATTAACATTAATGAGCTAAAATTCTGAGAGATAATTTTTTAAAAACTAGTCACACGATTTTTCCAAAACTTGGCACTTTGGCATAATGTGAGTCGTAGACTTGAAATATGGAAAAAAAATTATATGTCATTTCAGAAAACTTTCGATTTTTGAGTCAGAATATTTATGTTAGAACGATGCTATATACGAGTATAAATCTTATATCCTAAGTCTCGTTTTCGATACATGGAAAACGTGAGTTAAATTCCGTTAATCCTCCCAGTAGAACGGGAGATATTGAACTGCCCTCTCCCTTTTTTCGTGCAAGGTACGCCTTTGATATTGCTAAATCTTCCTTTGATGAAACATATAAAGCATTTTAAATTTAGCAAAAGCCAGCCGAGTTGGTTTAAAGTAGAAATTCAGCAGAAAATATTCTACCAAATTTCTACTTAAAAGTGGTTTATGTTTATGAATAGTTTGTATTTATGAAGTGTTTCAAGGAGATCTAATTTTTTTTTTTTAAATTTGCCTTCTGTAAACCAAATATAAGTCTCAATTCCGCTTCACTCTGAAAATTGGAATGCTTTTGCCCACATGCTAAACTGATTTTTATTGCAAAAATATCTTCCTAAAAAACTTGTAAAGTAATTCAAAATCATGCAGTTATATTTTGATTAAGTAATAAATGATGTTTTGATTAAGTTGGAGATTAAGTAATAAATGAAAATTCATTTAAAAATTGCTCTTGCTTGTCATGCACTGAAATTCATTACAATGTATGTTGCTATTATAAAGAGTGGAAATTTTCCAAGAAAATAAAAATTTAAAAATTAAATTAAATCTTCAAAATATTTTTTTTCCGATTCTGAAATACGATTTCATAAATGCAAAAGTTAGAACAAAACAAGATTTTTCCCCCTCCTTTTCCCTAGCTTTTGAGAAACAGCATATGGTATGAATTGTACTGCCTGTATGAAATTCAGAACATAATTGTGCTGCATGTATGTAATTTGTGTACATACCAAAACAACGGCAAGAATTGTCATTTTTATGTACAGAAGGAAAGAAGTTCTTTTTTGTTGAATAATTCATTAATTTTTTCGTTATACAAAAATAACGAAATCTGTTTACTGTTTGTTCCTGATGGTTGCTTTTTTAATATGTAAGATCAATGTAGCTTCATGTATGTTTAGCATATTGATGTTTAGTTTCTCACCTTGGATACAGGAGTCAATGCTGTCGAACCTGCTCCTGGTGGAGGTCGGCGCCGCATGCTGGTTCGCGTCCGGCCCGCAGGTAACAACAGAGCAGCTGCTGATGAATCAGCTCGGCCTACTATAGAGGAACCTGTCAGAGAAGTGACGGGTAGAGCAGTTAGCAGAGATGAGCGTCGATTGTCAGGTTCTACTCTCCTCGCTACAAGAGGTACATGATTAATTTTATCAGAAATAAACTTCGTTTACAAACAAATATCTTCAGTGTTTGCTATACATAATATTTTACTGACTCCCTATCTGAAAACTTACTTTTCTGAGAGTAAAAGAAAAGAGAGAGTGTTTTTCCTAACCCTTTTCCGAGAGTTTTCTCCTAACTTTAAAACTAATACTTTTCTTTTTACTCAAACTAACTTTAAATTTTGAGTGTCCACACTATTTTAAAAACAAACTAACTCACCACCAATCTATATTACATTTTTACATAGGATTAAATCAGAACGTCCACAAAGTCGACTCGAGGTATAACGTATTATTTTTAACATGAAGTAAACTAAACGAGATATTGCGCAAAAAGAAGTTAATATTTTGAGAGCTTTTTACATCTCTGAATACCTGATCACTTCAACCCTGTAGATTAACTATACTTGGTTTTGATGTTTATTAATGAAATCTTTGAATAGTAATCGAGATACAAGAATTGCCATCAGTTAATGCCATGAATTTCCGGGTTTTCAGAATTAACCCATCTTTGTTTCCAAACTAAGAGACAAAGAAAAAAACTCAATGTTAATGCAAAAGCATAAAAAAAAAAAAGATGTTTGCAAATATCCCTTCCCATTGAACTAGCTAGTATGTGAAACTACATACGATAAAACATAAATGTTAATAACCCTGAAAAATCAGCTGCACTTCATATTAGAAGGCATTTCTTCTTCCTTTCTGCATGCCTTCGTGGTGTAATTGGAAGCATATTCGACTCGTATTCGAGAGTTCCAGGGTTCGAGTCTCGACGAACCACATTTCTCACGTCTCCTGTTTCAAAAACAAAGAATGACTCGGCAGTGGCTCCCAAACTAAGAAGGTGGTAGATGATAATTCGTCCCTACCAGGATTTGGTGATTAGGTTCCTTCATTCTCAGTCGCCTTTTAAAGGGGAGGAGTACATATGATATTTTCTCCCTCCTTTCCGCATACTTTCGCGGGGTAATAAGAATCATACTCGACGCGTATTCGAGAGGTCCAGGGTTCAAGTCTCGGAGAGGGCATGCACATGTTTCATGTCCCCTGCTTCAAAAACACCTAATGACTCTATAACACATTCTTTCGATCAATTCGTATTAATTGTCGATACGCGAAAGAGAGATGTGGTTTGCGGTCTTGCCGTACCATACATGAATTCAGTGTACCAAGCCATTAAAGAGAGAAACCAGGGAGCTAGGAAACATAACTGTAGCGTAAATGCACGAAGGGATGAGTCTGTAGAGAATATGAGCTGTAGTAACAGAAGTAGTACCACAGTTTTTTGTTAAATCTATTTTCTCACTATATTCAATAACTGTACAATAAGTTATGCTGCAAAATTACTGTGAATGAGAAATTTCGTTACATTTCAGTTCAAGATTAGCATAGAAGTGATAATCTATTATTGCATGAAACATTTTTTTTTGGGGGGGGGGTTCTTTATGGTCTTCTCTATTCACTGCTTCAACACTATTCACTGCTCTAACACTTCTCTACATATTCACTGCTTGCTAGTATTTGGTCGTAATCTCTTTATAATCATCGCATTCTATCAAATTTTTATTTGTGCAAAATCAAATATTTAATTTTTTTAGGATCAAATTTTTATTTGTGCAAACTGAGATTCTGAGCAGGATTTCATAGTTAATGATAAAATAATATCATATGAGCTTTAATTAATTTCACTACTCTTACAGCAAAGAGCAGACATCAGTTTCATTTTATATAATAATTTTAAAAACTGAAATAGCAAAGAATTTGACATGTATATGAACTGGATGTATACAGTCTGAGGCTAACGATCGTCTTTCCATGCACTCATATATGATTTCGTTGTACTCTGCTCCCATCACAGATGCAGACATGGATGCAATTTAAGCAATGCTTATCATTTGCTCTTTCATACACATCAAGCTAGCTGGAATCATCAATCTTTTTTCTCTGGCGTTTCTCTCCATGAATTTAATTTGTGTATGACAGCTGCTTTTATTTCTAAACTAGTTCTGGTTTGGTGTATTTAGTTATGGCAAAGCACTCAGGAGTTATCTTTCTAAGGAGAGGGATGCTCTCGTGAAGGACTTTCTAGGGAAAAACTGGCTCGTATACACATTACACATGGGGGAAAACTACGAAAACGTCCACGCAGCCAGATCATTCGTCGCGATTCAAACTCCAGACCGAACCACCAGCGTTCAGTGACTTTACCGCTTGGCCGCTGGTGGGCCTCTTCATATACAAATCAGATTCATGTAGGCGCAATAAAACATTGGACAGTTTTTTCGAAATATCTCCAAAGCCATTGCATCATTATATATCCATTCATAATATAGCATAACTGTTACCGAAACTTTCTACGCGCTATTTATCCAAAAACAATTATTCGTTTGGCTTTTTAACTTATTTAATAAGAGTTTTTGACATTTTAAAAGTAATTGAAAAGTGCTTTATTGAAAATTACTAAAATGTAGCTGCCACACACTTCTGACTATTATTTAGCTACTTGCATCTCAAGTATAACCATCAAGCTTAACGATCATTAATTAATAATCAAGTTTAACCATCAAGTATAACTATCATATCATTTTATGGCTTTTTAGGATATGTATCATATGTAATCATTAACAATAAAATACTTCACAAGAATAGTTAATACAACAAGCTATGTGACCAACACATGTGCATTTAATTTTCATCAGGCATGTAAATTTTATTTTATGCTAATTACTCTGCCCGTGCGAAACCTTTTAGTAAATGCAGAGTATCACTGAAAATTTCAGAAATTGTTTTTAATGTGTATTTAAAGCCCGTTTTTGATAAATGTGAGATCATAAGTGTCTGAGAGAATAAGCTCACTGAAGACAGATAATTCATCTCGGGTTCTGAATAGGTCTGCATCATCGTAGTGTCTTGGCTTTCTCAGTGTTCACGCTTTACTATGATCCGTTATTTTTTTCTAATACTTTAATGTATAAAATAAAACATCTCTGTTAAATAGAGGAATAGGTTTTTTTCTGCTTATTTTATATTATATTATCTACATACGTAACGCTGAAATAATCGTATTTTTAGCCCAAAAGGGACGAATTGAACCCAAAAGACGACGTTAGTCCCGAAAGGGTTATTAATCTGGAAACGGTATTTTGCGTTAAACGGCGTATCACTTTTCAAATTGTTGCCACCAAATGTTAGCACCCTGTATTAATTTTAAAAAAATTAAATAATGACGAATCTGCCTGAATGTATGCATGTTTCTCGCATTGTGATAAAACAACGGTACCTAGAGTCATCAAATTTTTAATAACGTTGTCCTCCACTCGAACATGGGCACCTGGAAAACAAAATTTTGAAATTCAAATTTGTTTTATTATCTATTTTATATTTTCTAAAACTTAACGAATTTTTGACGCAACAATTTCAAAGCGAGCAGTGACAGCACTGTACGAAAAGAAACATTTTCATCTCCAGCGCGTTTATCGAAAATTCTAAAGATATGCTGTTTTTAAATATTTGTGATATTGCTATACATTGAATTTTATGTAGCGTAAGCGTCAAGAAGTAATATTTAATGAATAAATTAAACACACAAAACGTTAATAATAAGACAAAAAAAAAAAAGACAATTTCGCAAAGCCACCTTAGTAAGAAAACTAAACACTGATATAATAAAATGAGATAAGATTTAAACAAAATACAGAAAAGTGCATGCCAACATTTAAAGCTGCATCGGGGATTCTAAAAGTACACAACTAACCTACTTTAAAAAGTTTTCTAATTTTGGTGTTGAATTTTATACGGTGCGAAAAAAATTATCCTTAATTATAAAGCTAAAAAGACAGAAAAAATGAGTTAGTGGGAGTGAATATAACAGCAGGCTGTTAGATTGCGAGCTCAACGAGAGCGTAAAAAACCTTAACATACCCTTTTGGGCAACCGTTAAAATCTGAAACCTTTCAGATTTGTTTTAAATAAATAAAATAAGTATATATAATTCTAGTTAAGTAAATATGAAAATATTATTAGTATTTTTTATATAATATTATTTTATTTTTAGCAAACCCCATAGCTGCTGCGGCAGCTTCACCAGGAAACGGTGAAACACGAGTCGCTGTGCTAAGGCGTCCTGTACATAACGGTGATCGCCTAGTTGAAGAAAAAAGGTTGGGCCAAGGAGTGAGACTTGTTGCTCGACGCCCCAACGCTTTACCCGAAGGTGAGAGGGGTAATTATGTTGCAGTAAGAAGAAGGCCGACTAGCCCACAAGTAAGTAATCAGTTCCTAGTGCTAAAAGGGATATTACGATTTCTGTGAAAATAGATTCATAATATTCCCGAACTATTTATCTGATTATAAAATGATGCAATAGTTTTCTGTTATTACAATTATAAAGCATTCTTAATTTTTCTTAATTGAAAAATCCCCGCTCAGAAAAATTTCGCCGACATTTCAAGAAGAGAAGAACTAATTTCGAAAATTAACTGTGGCAAATCATAATGAATAGAAGCACTAACCAAGATGCTAAATGTAACTAAAAGATATAGCTATTCTCTGAACGATTGCATTTTAGAAAGTGATGTAGATACCAATCAAGAATGTACGTGTGCACGATATATAACAGAAGTATTTGGTTTTCGTTACGTTTCATGAGAAATGACTTAAAATCTGTCAGTTAATCAGTCACTGTTCTAATTTTAATAAGAAAATTGCAATCAAAATGAATTATAACATAGCTAAAAGGCATGCTATCAGTAGGATTTGCAAAATCAAATTTTTAATTTTGGGGGGGATCAAATTTTTTATTTTTGGGGGATAAAAAAAAGTTGCTGCTGGACGTAAGCGGGAAGTCTTCGTTTTTTTATGTCCTATTCTATGACAGGGCTTTAATCGTGTTCGGTAATACAAAATACTTTCATTTATAATTTTGCATTGTCAGTAGGGCTAGATTATATAAAACTATTGGATTTACTCCTAATTTTATGCTTTTGAGGTAGAACAATCAAAGGCAACGACTAATAATTCTATATTATCAACCAAAACTAATTTATGTTATTATTGAATTTCTATTGAGTTATCAGCTACCAAAGCGCATATAACTTTCCCAGGTAATCACCAAACGCAAATAAGTGCTTCAGACAGGAATAATTAAAAACTGAATTCAGCATTCTAAAGAAAAGCTATTCAGACGTCTACGGTTCACAAAAGAATGAAGATACACTATTTCAAACAGAACTTCTAATTCATCGTAATGACGCACTGCCAGTAATAATAAATCGTAATGACACATTGCTATATCTGTAAAACAAATCGTGCAGATCTTTACCATCAACAGCCGTTCTCACTTAGCCATCTTCAAAGACCACACTGACAGATATGACAGAGGAAGAATAGAATTTAAACCTTTCTTAGCAGATTTCTTTTGCCATATTTCATGAATTCATGTGGCTTTCTTGAGAGCTGTTTCCTTTTGAAGTTTCCAGTGGCTACTTGGACATGCTGTATGGATTTTACACGTTTTTTTTCTTCATATATATTACTTGATTATTAGCCACTTTCTCTAGAAAAATCTCTCAGAACGTCATTCTTCTTCTTAGGTGAAATAGCTCTTAAGTCATCTGACCTAGTGAACTAACTAACCACCGTTACACTTTCTGTCGTTGATCCACACTTCTTTCTCATAAACTCTTGCAATTATTGGTTTACAGTCTTTTCACACATGCATATTCCAGTATTTTTATAATTTACATATAATTCGTAGTTTATATGCAGCACAAAATTCTCCTCATAAACACTAATATGCGTAAAAATTTGGAACTCTATTTCACAAATTCTTCCCTAGATCATTTCCTGCCCTTATTTATGCAAACGTCCAGTACTGAAATATGAAAAATGTTTTCCGTATAAAGTTAATAAAGTATTTGTGGTTACCTCCTTTGTGGTAAAATTAAAAAGAAAATACTAGTTTTACAAAGTGCAAAAGTAGTTTTGTAAAGTAAACTAAAAGTCCCCCTAAGACATTCAAATTTCATAATTTTTTATTTTTCTATTAGCAGTCTAGTACAGTTGTGACTACGCCTGTGCCTACAACTACGGCCATCCCTATCACTACTATACTACTGCCGGAAAGGCCGCTTTACAGCGCCTTCGTCAATGCTTCCGATGCAGCTCTTGAAGAGGAATATGATGATGAATATTACGATGAGTATGAAGATGAATTACCAGAAACCACACCGACCACGACTACGACGACGACTACCACCACTGCTCAAAGACCAAATATAAGACCTTTGAGTAACAGGAGGAGACTTACAACTGCCTCCGCACGACAAGTTATAACTACCTCATCTCCTAAGCCGTAAGTTTTAAAATTATCTCTCACTAAATAAAAAGCTCAAATGAAACGTGTAACTTCATTCGTGAAAAAAAAAAAAACCTAATTTCTCTTTTTTATTGTTTGAAATTTGCGACAAACTAATCACACATATACTCTGTCCAATAATAATATTATTGATATACTTACTTATATAAGTAAGGCTTGTAAGATTCTGTGCTGTGTACTTTTAAGTTACAGTTGAAGAATCTTAAGAACTGTTCAGCGAATAATCGCTTGAGTTCGTGAGATAGAGACAACACGTAAGAAGAGTGAAATTACCCTTTATTATTCCAATAAGGTTTAACAGACCTCCATCTTGGAGTTTTACCATAAAACCGCCACTCGGGTTTGAACTTAGGAAACTAAGAACTAAAACTTTACTAATCTTAACTAAAAAGATATAGCCGAAGGTATCAAAATTCTAACAGAGTTGGCCTTCTAAATAACAGCGAAGCTATCAAGGGTCTAAAGTACGGCCGAGTGTAATAATAGCTTAAGAGAGAATAGCGTAAGAAGGCGAACGCGCGTTAGTCAGAATCACTGGTTCTCTCTCTCGAAGTCAGAAGAACTTCACAATTAAATACTTCTCCTCATTTTCATTCAAACGCGATTCTAAAACTACGTTCTGGCCGGAAGTTGTAAGTTGAAATTCAGGAAGACAGGAAAGGAACTTTAACACAAAATATACTTGTTAAGTAAATGAAACGCTCATAAGGATGTATCTATTTGTGTATCAGCTTCATCCGGCTTTTACGTATTTCAGAATTTTCATAAAATTCTTGGGAACCAAATTCTATAGTTTTGTTGAGGAAAATTTGTGAACGTGGAATTCTTAACTCAAATTCTGTACTTAAAAGATCTCTAGAACCAAAGACCTCCCATAGCTACTTAATACAGACAGTGATAAGAAATATAAAAAAAAAAAAAAAAAAAAAAAAAACTAAATATCAGTAAGTGAAAATTTACTAGGATCACTGCTTATGGTTAAACTCAAAATGATGTGCAAAGCAAAGCTTGAAGATTTCACTAACTGGAAAAACAAATTAGGCAACGTTGTCCTTATCAATATAGCGGGTAGCAGAGCCCGCTGTCATGTCGTTAGGTTCAGTTTAAAGTCCCGGAGAAGACATGTTTTTTTACAAATGAAATAGCGACATTTAGAACTTAAGGGACATTTAAGATGCCATCCAGCCAAATGTTCCCTGAAAAGATTGATGAGAAGAGAATTGACAAGATTGATAACAAGAGAATTGACAAGATTGATGACAAGGTATTGAATTCTGCTGCTAGGGATTTTATTGCTAAAGCTGGGACGGAGCTAGGCAATCATACTCTCCGTATTGTAACAGTGCTTGAGCACCAAGGTGCCTAGGCACAAAGTCTCAACCCTTGTAGAATATGCTGAAAGCTCCTAATTAGATTCTGACATGTAATTGAACTCATACTGCCACTTCTAATGTAGCCAAGGCCATGTCCAATAACAGATGCTGCATTCCTCTTAGGAACAACTAATTCGTGTGATTGATATGAATAGATTTGGTTGGCTGTTTTGATTGCGGCAAAGCTATTGTCATAATTAAAATTATGGTTATGGCAAAGCTATTGCCCAAATCAACTCTGATTTGATAATCTGAGAAATCAGGAGGCTAAAAAACAAATTAATAAAAAACAAATAATAAAAGTAATGATAGTAATAATAAATAGACAACAGAACCGTAGTCTTATTTGGCAGTTCTAATAGCTGCTCAGTTAATTAATTAAGGAAGTTAACTGTCTCTAAAATTCCCAGTGACCTTTACTGCAAAGAATCTCGGACGTATAACCGACTAGCAGCGCTTGCAAAGCCGACGCAAGAGTTCCCTGGGAATAGAAAATTTAAGTTTGCCCATATGTTTTGTGTGTGAAATACACAGTGCAATATGTCTCGGTGACCGCCGCCCATAGCTATCCATTTTTTAACGTGACTAACACACATGCACTTGCACATATAGATGGTTATGAATATTGTTGCGTGCGTACGGGTTCGTTACGAAATGAATGCACAAGTCCGATGAAAAATGAACAAAAAATTTATTATTATCACAACAAAAATGCTTAAATTTTCTCAAATTATCATGCAGTATTACAATATCTCACAGTAGTTATCTTTTAACTACTCAAATATCCAAAGAACGTAATTCAAAACAGCTAAAGAACGCTAATCCGCGAATTCGCTACATCAACAACAGTAGTTTTCAAACAACACAAGCTAAGCAACTACTACAAACTGAGATGTTTTTCCCTCCTTTTATAAGATTTTAAAATCACGCGCTAGAATTTTCCAGTTACTTTCTCGAAATCAAAAGAGATATTTATTTATTTAGCACGCGCTCTTGTATTTTCAATTTTCCTCCCTCTCTTTTAATATTCGTCACGCGCTGCACTGCGCGAGAATAAAACCATTTAATTTATAATTGAAACTAACATTAGCTTTTTTTTTAAATCCAAATTCGTAACACTGCCCCCACTGCCCCCTTCCCAAGGACTGCACGTCCCGGCAGTACAATCCCTGGACAGGAAGCTAACTTACAACTGTGGCATACTGCATTAATAAGCATTCATTACAATAATAACACACATGAACAATAAATGCAATACAAAAAAAATCAAATCTAAAATACAAATCAAATAAATACACATTAAAAACAAAAGGACCATGGTCTTATACTATTTACAATTATTTTACATATGTACTATGGCCATAGTAATGAGCTAACCTGTTGTAATGAACGAACTTTAGGTTTAGTTCGATGACTTACGGATCCAAACCATGACATCATTCAGTCTGTTTAGGGCTGTGTACGGACCAACCCAAGGTGACTGTAATTTCAGACAGAGTCCTTTCTGTTGAGTCTGATACCACAAGCACACCTTGTCTCCTTCGTGAAATTGATGTCCAGTAGCTCTTGTGTCATATCTGTTCTTCACCTTCTCTGTCGCCAAGTTAACTCACCCTCGTGCAGAAAGGTGCATCACTTTCAAACCGGGCCTGGAACATCTTGGGTGTATTCCTCAGGCAGTGAAGGAACATCTGGAGGGCGACCAAACAGGAGGTCACAAGGCAGACGAAGGTCTCGACCGAAGAGCATCTGTGATGGAGAGTAGCCGTAGTCTCGTGGACAGCACTGCGGTAAGCCAGTAAAAAGAGTGGTAATTTCTTTCCCAGTCCTGTTGGTTTCTGGAACCACTAATGAGGTTATTAAGGATGGTTCGATTGACCTCTCTACCATGCCGTCCGACTGGGGATGCAATGGCGTCGTTTGAGTTTTGTCAATGCCAAAGTAGTTTGCATAGTTCTTTGATTACTGCCGAGGCAAAATTCCTTCCCTGATCGGAATGTAACTGAAGAGGCACTCCGATCTGGAATCCAGCGCTGTATCATTACCTCAGCTACTGTGATGCCTCTTGATCAGGAATAGGATAAGCTTCAGGCCACTTGGTGAAGTAATCAATGACAACGAGTATGTATTTTGTTGCCATCAGCAGTTCGTGGCAGAGGTCCCAGGATAAAGGCGATACGTTCAAGAGCCACCTACGTTTAAGTGCAGTCTGCCTCGGCTGCGTTTCCCCTCGGTCCGTTTTCGACCGCACAGGCATCGCAATATCGGCAACTTTTGCACGTCATTCTTTGCATTATTCCAGTAAAGCGCTCACGAACTCTCTGTAAGGTCTTCATAATTCCAAATGACCTCCTGTAGGCTGTTATTTAGTTCTTTGAGAACATCAGGAATCCGGATCTTGGAAGTATCAGTTGCCATCGGAACGTCTTCCATCATCCGACTCGAATTCCGGTATAAGACACCGTTTCGAATGTGAAGTGAATCCCAGAGTGCCCATATTGTTTTTTTGTTGTAGGACTACAGATAGAAATGTCCTGCCAGTAGGTTTTCTGTTTTGATGACTCTATTAAATCAAGTATGGGTTTATGCGCGGTCTTCCAGCTGGTCTCTCCTGACTTCATCATCACTCCACGGTCTCGATCAGCCGATATTGATTTGTAATTTGTCTTGCGACCGTAGTCAGCAGCTCGTATTTCGCTCCCACCCTGGAACAATATCGGCAGCTTTCTTGGCAAGGTCTTCTAGACAGGGCGTCGGCGTTTCCGTGTGTGATGATCCCTTACGATGACGGATAGTGATGTCATATTCTTGGAGTCTCTGTATCCACCTGGCTATTTGACCCTCAGGATTTTTGAAATTTAAAAGCCAGGCCAATGAGGCATGGTCCGTGCGGAGGAGGAATTTTCTCCCCGTATAGATAAAATGGAAATGTTCTACAGCTTTGAATATGGCGAGTAACTCTTTCCTTGTGACACAGTAATTCCTCTCCGGTTTAGACAGGCACTTGCTCCAGTAAGCTACTACCCCGTTCTTGGCCGTCTATTTCTTTGGACAAAAAAACAGCACCGACACTTTCATTGCCTCGGTCGGTGTCGAGAATAAATGGTCTGTCGAGCTGAGGATACGTCAGGATTGGAGCAGATGTTAAAGCTTCCTTTAAGTTGTTAAATGCATCCTCGCATTCCTTTGTCCACAAGAATCTTTGCTTGCTCTCTGTTTGATGACTCCATTAAATCAGTTATGGGTTCCCGAATCAGTCCCGAATCTCCTATAGTAGGTACAAAGCCCTAGGTAGCTTCTCAGCTGACAAACATTTTCGGGATTTAACCGCTGATACCTTTTCAGGATCCGTGCACATACCTTCTGCCGAGATGACATGTCCGAGGTAAGTCACTTCCTGTCTGAATAATTTGCATTTAGCGGGACTCGACTTTAAATTGGCTTCTTTCAGTTTTTGAAGCACCTTTCTAAGATTTTCTAGATGTTTGTCAAAACTCTTTCCAATGATCCAGGTATATCAGACAGGCTTCATAGGAAAGACATTTCAAAACACTCTCCATGAGGCATTTGAATGTTGCCGCCGCATTACACAGTCCAAACGAC